ACTGTAAGAATAATCTGTACAGGTAGTGCTGATGGGGAAAGTACTTTGCTCTGATAGATACATGAAGCTTGATTTTCAGCACTGAGAGCATCTCTTTGCCAGCCACTAATTTAAGGGCCTGTCCAACTGTGGTGGAGGGGTGCTGTGAGCTTAATTTCACATAGCAGTTTGCAGAAATATATATTACTGCAGATAAGCAGTCCCTTTGCATTATTTATAAGGAAACTCAAGTAAATTATTGTTGGTTTTCATGCTGCAGGTAAAGTTTTAATGAAAACAATAATGAATGCTGTGCTGGCATGCATATGCAACCTAAGTATGCAGCCAAATTAGCTATCTAAGCAGATGCTTCATATCCTGAATTACCTATAAGGAATGCTGTTCAGTTGCTTTAAAATTGTATATACACTACTGACTAATTTTTTGTAAAAGACATATTTTGTTGTTTCGTTTTTTTTTGTTTGTTTGTTTGTTTGTTTGTTTTCAAATAAAATGTTTCAGTCATAGTGTCAGCAAGTATGACTATAAAACTAAAGCAGAAAGAAAGACGCAGGAAGCTACCTTTGTGCAAGAAAAGTTCAGGGAAAATTCAGAAATACTGCATTTTTAAAGATATTGCTGTACTGCAATATGGACATTATAGCAAATGTAAGAAAAGCATCCTCTCAGAAATGCAAATCAAGACAATGTTAATACTGTGCAAGTAAATTAGTGTTTTGACCTTAGATGTCTGTACTTTTGTGTTTAAACTATTACTTATTTTATTTGATAAAGACAATAGAGCATGTAACAGTCAGCTGTTATACTAGGCTTACAGTATGTATTAGCCTGTAGTATACTATGTAAGGGTTTATAATATAACACTTTAAAATTTTACTGGTTGACCTGAAAGTACTTTTGGCGTCATGGTCATGAATGCAAGGTATACAAGTGGGTCTTTATTACCATTGCCCTTTCCCTGTTTTGCAGACACTTTGGAGTTGAATTTAAACCCATAGTTAATTCTGGTTCTCCTCAATGTGATGATAATACTAACAGATTCCTGAGGCAGCATGGGATCAATTCTGCCAGGCTACAATAACAAAGTCACCTTGGCTCAGGTTCACCAGAGTGGCTGAGTTCTTCACTTTGGGGCTGTTCTGTACCCTCTTTCTGCTCCAGAAATCCTGTAGAGCCCCATGGCTGCAATGGGAAGGGGTCTTAAAAATGGTGATGAACCAGCTTGCTAAATTTTCCTTAGGAAAAAGCATGCTGAAGTACATAAGGAGCTTGTCTTAACAGTGTGCTAGTAACACAATACTATGTTTTTATATTTGTACAATGTATGATATGAACAATTTCTGGAAGGTCAACAAACCCTGTTGAACGCATTGCAATGACAAAGCCACTGAGCAGGCACACTGGATTGGGAAGGCAAAAAGAATAGCAGCAGCAAAATCGCAGGAGGTAAGAGAAATGGAAGAAAACAACACAAAGAGAAATTTAAAGAGCGGTATGAAAAAGAGCTTTGGGTTTAGGCACTCAGCTTTGGAAAGTTTGTCTCTTTCACCTGAAGTGTGTGGCTTTAGTTCTCCTTTTCTGAAGCATTTAAGTTCCTTTCTTGGGCCACTTAGTGTTTATTAGACTTTGATAGTCTAATAAATAATATGATATTATATATATATATAATATATTATATATATAATATATATATATAAATATATATATATATGATATATATTTATGATATGTTTTTGTCTATATATAAAAGCCTAATGTATGTATGTAAGCACATATACAGTATCTACACGTGTATGCATGCATATATAAATACATGCATGTAAACATACATACATGTATATGCATACATATATATGCCTATGTATTATATATCTCATGTATTTATATATATACACATATATAAAAATCATCCTAAATGTCTTATTTTAACTATGTTCTAAGATGGATGTGATGTGGCTGTTCTCCATTTTAGCACTCAATTTTCTCAGCAATTTGATTTTTGAAGCTGGAGTTGTTGCCCTCAGAAACAACTCTGGTAAAGCGTGTTGTTCCTTTTACAGTATCAAAGTACAAAGATGCTCAAATAAAAAGAGGGATTAAAATATGTAGTCTACATTCAGTAATGGCTAGCTTTCCAGTTGGTGTGTACAGACTGTAGGGACAGGTTTTTCACTACAAGGTATTTCAAAGCTCAGGAGGGTGTTGGTAACTCAGTAACTTTGTATGTTATGTGTAGGTGTCAGCAGAGCATGTAAAGGTTTCTATGTAGTGTATAATAATATTCTATCTATTTCTCACAGAAAAGTGAAACTTTGCTTCCCTCCCCCTCTTTATTCTCTCCCTGTCATTTCCCTTGACTTATTCTATTTGAATAAATGAGTGAGAAGTGTTTTCAGAATTGAAAAGTCCTTTTTGCCCTTTACAACAAAAGTCTTCTTCACAGATCAATTATGTCATAATGACTCAACCACTATGTGGTGTTTGTTACAACTTTTATTTTCCTTGCCCAGAAGAATCTACCATGCTAGGTTTTACTAAACAGGTAAGGTATAGTCCATGCTCTGTGAACCTTGTAAGTGAGAAGGAAATACAAATCTGTAATGCAGCAAAGCAGATATTAACCACATCTTTTTGTTACCAGAATTCTTGTTCATCTTCTGTTTAAATAAATCTTGACATTTTTCACTTTTTTTTTTTGTTTGTTTGTTTGTTTGTTTTCACTAGCATATGGAAAAACCCTATTTTGTGTGTATAGCTTTGCTGATACCTTGCCATCACCTTGGTGCTGCAGTGCTTTGGAGGACTGGTCTAAGAGAAGTAATATCACACCATCTGCAAGCAGGGTATCAACAACCATGAATCTTGCTCATAAAGGGCAGAATTCCGACAGGGGCCATATTTGTCAGTAATAATGATAGACATGATGGCATCCCCTGCAGCCAGACATAAAGCTTAATTGCTGCTGTGCTTGCCACGGTGATCTCTGTTCCTTGCGTTACAGTTTCAGAAAAATGACAGTAGGTGGCACTGGAGAACAGTAACACGGGAGGTTGGATCTGTTACGAAATGGAACAGTCTCCTTACTGGCTCGATGTTTAGCCAGGTTTCTGTCCCTACAGACTGCTGAAACACTTTGCTGCATTCCCCTTAGAAACCTGCTATAGTCGAAGCCTCAAGGCTTCAAATGAAAGGGTGTGATTTGTGAAAGCTTCACACTGTGTGAAGCAAGACTGAGCAACAGCTTACTTAAGATGCTGTACATCTGGGGGTACGTAAGAGCAATTATTTTGCCAGCTCTTTACCTGCAGCTTTTTGTCAGACCTAGGTCATACACATGAGTTTATACATGGCTAAATCAACATATGATTCATCTTTAATTTTAGTGAGCTATAGGCTCCTGCCAGTTGGTGGAGCAGCAAGTGTATCTAACAGAAGAAAAGAAGGCATCCCAGGGAGTCTCCTTTTTTTTTTTTTTTTTTTTTTTTTTTTGTCTCTGGAGATGATGTACCACAGGCCAGCAAAAGGGGGAGGGGGAGAGGGGGGGAGAGGGAGATAATTCTTCAGAGTGCTAGGAGGAAATCAGGGTAGAAAGTGACTCAGCAGTTTTCTGCCTACTATTTTGATGGGAAACAGAAAACAAATAATTGCGAAAATGTTCAGGGTTTCCCAAGGAAAATCTTCATAAATTTCTTGTGGAAATCACCATGGGGAGAGGAGGACATGTCCCAGTTCATATTACACAAATAGCCTTCTGTGTTTGTTTGGGAATATGAGCTCTCCCCATGCATATTTCTTCTGTTTTCTCTACCCTCCTCCTTTTACTACATCCAGTCACTGTGAGATGAAGCAACATCACACAGTCACACTGCCATAAACTCTGAAATAGCAGCTCCTAAAATTGGTGTGATCCTGTCTCTCAGGATCGCTTCAAAGTAATCACTGGTAACAACTACAGTGCAGTATAAATGCCACCAAATAGTTTGTGTAGCAAACTATTGTGACATTTTTTAAGGGTTGGAGAATATATGAGAAGAAAAACATTACCTTTCACCAACTGAAATAAGTTTTGTCCTTGGCTAACTGCTTTTAAATTGCAATGACATCACTGACAGCTTTTGTGGTACTTTGAAGGGCAGAGTTTTCCCAAGAACAATTTATCAAATTATTACTTCATTCAGTTTATCAGATACAAGATATCTATAATTAATTATTAACTTTCAGTGCTTTATCCTAATCTGTTCAGTCTTGCCATACAGCATTTTATAACTGAAATAGTCATGTTTACACTGACTACCTCACCATTTTTGAGGGTATTTTCCTGCTTGTAACAACCGTGGAGTAGATTAGGATTGGGATTTTTTGTGAGTTTTGAATAGCTACCTCAGCATGGCAATTTATACCTTTTTAAGGAAAGGTATGAAGCTTTGAGGCAGATCATCCCTGAGGGAACTCCTTCCATTTTGTGCCTGGAGCAGCCTCTGCTGCTTCTTTTAGTGGTAGAGGGTCCTGGGCTCCTTGAGGACTAGGAATATGTTCATAACCAGTGTTGTATTTTTACTTCAGGCCCTATTTAGAGGGACAAAGCCATCATCAGTCTGTGGCCAATATCCCACCTTAAGGATCTTCCCCTTTAGACTGTCCCAGCTCTCAGAGTGAGGAGCCAAATGTGGAGAACCTGTCTGCCAGACAGTATTTGTACCTTCCCTTTCTCCTGTGAGCAAAGCACTCATTCCAGAGCTCTCACCACCAGTGGCAAATAGAAGCTGCATGAAGATGAAGTAGAGTAAAATTTCTGAATCCTGTTGTAATGCAGAAGTCATTCTGAGGCAAATCTTTCCAAGCCTTTCACATGAAGTTGTCTTGTTATTTTAAGCACATTTGATACTTGTACTTTAAGCGTGAGATCATCTACCACCATGAGAAAGAGAGAGAGAGAGAGAGAGAGAGAGAGGGAGGAAGGGAGGAAGAGAGGGAGGGAGTAGGATTCTCAAATAATGAGAGACAACAGATAATATGATTCCTTTTTATTGTTACTGCTGTTTGAAATTTCCCTGAAGGAAGAGGTGGGAAAGAATCATACCTTTAGTAAACCAGTTAAACAGGAAGGGAAGCTTCTGACGACTAAGTTACACCCCCTTCGTGTTGAAAGCATATAGGTCATCTGAATGTGTCTGTGAACAGGAAGAAATAGGAGACTATATCCTTCTAACAAATTGTGTGTTTCAGGTAAGAGGTTGCAACATATATTCTTACTGCTTAGCACTAGCCCAGTATTGCACTTCTGGGATCCGATGAAAAGAGAAAATTGAGCCTACAGTGCACAAAGCTTTTATGCTAGTATGTACGTGCATGCTGAAGTAAGGGAAGTATTTATGTGTGCTTAGCCAGAAGCTACAATGTCGGGAGCATTGTGTAATGATGTCTGCTCCCTTGGTTTGTAATGACTACTTTACAGAATTTTGAGGAATTTTCCCTTAAAGCCCCAGATCCCAGAATTATACGATTATGTGAAAGCATGGGCTGTCATTTGAAGAGAAAATGAAGTCTTCATAATTGCATGGAAAAATAATGAAAATCTCCAAAATGTGAATTCAGAAACCCTAAAAAGTAAACTTTAAAACAACAACAAAACTCACAGTATAAATTTTGCTTCATTAGTGATTTCTGAAAATTCAGTGTTGTCAACACGCTTTGCATGATTTGGATACAGTAATAGTGGCTGGCAAAAAGCCAAACCGTTTCCTGAAGTTGGGTGTTGCTTTGAAAAGGATCAGTCTAATTTCAGAGCCTAATCTTACTAAACCAAAGAGCAGGTGAGACTTAAACCACTGGGAATTACAGCATGACATGCCAAGTTTCCAGTCTAAATGGTTAGCTTTAAATGTGTGTCCATATAAAGTAGACACGGTTCTACAAACAGTGCTGTATGTGTCTGCTCCCTGAGGTCCTCCCCTTGCAGTGGTCAGGGCTGGAAGAGGGAGCCTGGTGCATAGTGCAGACTCCTAATTTCTCACGGCCCCTCTGCCCACTGAGAAGAACAGGGCAGCAGACTATGCAGATGGCCCTTCTAGCACTATATCTAACTTGCCTGCATTTAAAGATGGCTAAGAAAGCAGTACTTCTCCTGAACAGTATGGAGAGTACAGGAAATAAGCAGTCATACGCAGGTAGATGGAGGTGTGATGTGTGTTTATTTAGCTGTCTCAGAAACAGCTAAATACTGGGATACTATACATAAAAGCTGTAGTGGTGTAAGAAACAGGGTTAGCTATTAGCTATTTATGTATTATTATAAATGGAACTTGTATGAAATGTCAAGAAAATATTTTTGAAACAGTTAAAAGGGAGTAAAAAGCATTGTATTGTCTGTGCCTCTACTACAGTGTTACAGGTAGCCAAACTTTATTAAGGAATGTAGGACTGGAGGGAGAGGTCATTGTTTTATTTTTTATTTTTCCTTAAACGCAATTTTCTAGGGAAAGAAAAAAAGAAAGAAAAAAAAAAAAAGAAAAAAAAAAGAAAAAAAAAGGAATAAAAGAAGTTATCTGTGATTTCTGTGATTTCATGGATGCATCTTCTTTCTTGTCACCTTTCTTTTGTTCAACAGCTGTAGAAAGGGGAAGAAGAGAGGAAGCTGCAAAAGACAGCAATTGTTACTTCTGTGCTAATTAAAATATTTCTGGGAAAAAAAAAATGTCATCTGAATCTAAAAGTATAATTCATGATTCACTGTGACAGAAATGGCAGGGACTAGGCTCGTAATTGAAGTCCATGGTGTAGATCCCCATTCAGTGTGGTCATTTTGGTTTTCTGGCTTAGTGAAACTTCATAAATAAATATATATTTTTTGCCCCCAGCACAATTAGAGCAAAGTAAACCAAGCTACATAACATGGAATCACTAAGCTCAGTGCCTGAAAGAGTTGTTTCAACCTCTAACTTGGAGATTTCATTTCAGCCTATTTAACTTTTCATTTCTCTTTTTGTTCTTGACTGTAGGTGACAGGAACCTATGCCACCTAGAGTTTGACTTCAAATAAAACAAAAATAAATAAAGTTATGATGAATACCTTCTGCTGTAATACAGGTTTTCATTGCAAGGCAGCATTATCTAAGCTAATATAGTGTAAATCTTGGGGACATATTGGAAAAGTAATTTGTGGTGCTGAGCTTTAACAATATCTGAGTGCACTTTCCATCTTGGTAGTGTTTTTTTACTGCTAGGGAATATATTTTTTATTGAATTATTAAATCAGATGTTTCTATTTCTTTTGTGTGATAAAGTACCCAGCACAACTGTGTACTTTATGTGGTATTGCTATTCCATGCCATTTGTATTTTAGGCTACTTCTGTATCAGTAAATAAAACAGGCCGTATCCTTAAAGGCAAGTAGCACAGAATAATTTGGATTTTAGAAGTAAACTCTCTTCCTAAAAAAAAAAGGTCTCCAATACACGCTGCTAATCTGAAGCATAGGACTAGTTGGCACATCCCAAAATCAGATCAGGAAGTTTGCTGATAACAGTGTGAATGATGAACTATTGCAGAAAACTTATGTCTTGGCCTTTTAATTTAGTAACAAAAATACAACCTCGGGATTTTCAGACACATTTGTTTTGAAAAAAGAAAAAAAAAGATTTATTTATAAATATATATATTTCATTTATATATGCCATATACAAGCTTTTGGGGTGTAGCATTTGGAATATTAGTTGGAGATCCAAGTCTTCTATATTTTACCCTTGTTCTTTCACTTGCTAAACTTCTGTCACCTGATTACACCAGGATAAAAAGTGTTAGAATATGAATAAATTGTAGAGTCACAAAAAAAGAGAGAAGTATATGAACGAACTGCCATTAAAGTGGCCATTAATATGAATATTTCCTACCCTCTTGTTTTAGATTCCTGCCTATGGTGTGGTATACAAGTATAAAACAACAGACATTTTATTTAATATTTGTCAGAATTAGTATTTTAGATCAGTTGTTCCAGGCATCCTGTTGATATTATTTATGAGTCCAGGAAATAAAAAAATTAAATTAATTTTAAGGGCACCTGGAAATGAGGATCAAGAAAAAGAGTACTCATGCTCTGGATGAATAAAATCTTCACACTCTTTGGAGAAACCACTATATTTATTTATTTATTTATTTATCTATCTATTTATTTATATTTATATATATATATATGCAAGTATACAGCTTTTTTTTTATAACATCTTTTTGTTTGTTTGTTTAACTTTTATTCTATGCTTTATTTCAGTGGGGGTATGTAGCTTCAGTTATGAACAATACTCTTTTGACCCTGGAAATATTGTAAAAGTTCTTTGAGGAATAAGACTGAAGATAAAAATCAGCTATGGCATATTTTGGAAGGGTTCCTTTCTTATATGATGAATATCATGAAGGACACACTGGGGACCAAGCACCTTATCCAGTGTACCATTCTGATTCTAATGGAGACATCCACCTAGGATTTGATCAAATAGCTGATGAAGTCAGCAATGAATTTTTTTTTTATGGTTCATCACATTCACATCATCATGAAGAACATTTTTTCACATCAGACAACTTTGGTCTGAATGTGCCAGAGAAGCATTTCTGTGGTCAGCCTCCAGTTGCTTATGACGAAGTTCACCCTGCAAATCCAGTATCTCATTGGCAACAAGGCACAGTGTCACCAGCGATTGGTTTCAAGTCTTCTTTACTGTCTGATGACAGAAACTTCTCTCTGGTGGATTCCTACCCTTACAGTCAAGAGAGAGAAATCTTCAGAGGGAATCATGTAACTACAGTCCCAAATGCGTTTGATTCAAATGTGGAGATAGGCAACACATATTTTCAGATAGGTTTTGACGATGTAGATGCTCAACGTCCTGTTTTCTTAGACAACTACCCATTTGCACAAGTGAGAGAAGAAAGCAGAAATGGGGAGGGTTATTTAATCAACAGTTCCAATAGATACAGCATAGGACCTACTTGGCCCAGCAGCTCTGGACATGACAGAGAGGTATGTACATTTTCTGACATTAAGTGTTTAAAGTTCTTGATCTTTATTGCCTGTGTCCTTGAACTTTGCATATTCACTCATACTGATGCAGCATGTATTAGAAACACTTCATTTTAACACCTGGTGAAAAAGAAAACAATTTATGCTTTGAGGGAAGAAAAAGCGTTTAGTCCTGTAGAGAGCTTTTGTCATCTGTGTTACACTTCAGCTGGCCAAAGGTAAATGTGAGACTTCTTATTCAGTTCTAATGTGGTCTTCATTACTTCCTAAAATAGAGATGCAGGGAAATCTGAAGTATATTTTCTAATAATTGTGTAACTTTTGAATTCTTGGCAGTCAGAATTTCCCACAGTGTTTACAAGGAGGATGCACTCAAACAAACAGTACAGAAGAAGTGCCACCAAAACCTCATCCCTAGATATGGGGAAGGCGGACTTCAGGCTGCTCGGGGAACTAGTCAGCAAGGTCCCCTGGGAAGCTGCTCTTGAAGGCCTTGATGTCCACCAGTGCTGGTCACTCTTTAAGCGATGCCTCCTAGAAGCACAAGAACAGGCAGTTCCTAAATATCGCAAGTCAGGCAGGCGTGGCAGGAGGCCGGCGTGGCTGACCAGGAACATTCTGATGGAGATTAGGCGGAAACAGAGAGTGTTTCGCTACTGGAAGGAGGGCCAGGTGACATGGAAAGAATACAGGGATGCTGTTCGTGTTTGTAGGAAGAAAATTCGTGTGGCTAAAGCACACCTAGAGTTGAAGCTGGCTGTGTCTGTGAGAGAAAATAAAAAGGGTTTTTTTAGATATGTGAATGGAAAAAGGAGAACTAAAGAATACATAGGGCCGCTCCTTGATAGGGAAGGTCTCCTCACAGACAATGACATAGGCAAAGCAGAGACGCTTAACGCCTTCTTTGCCTCTGTCTTCAATGCCGATGATGGGCTTCGGGACTCAGGGTGCCCTGAGCTGGAGGACCGGGACGGTGGGGATGACAAACTCCCAACCGACCCTGAACGTGTGCGGGATTTGCTACTCCACCTGGATCCCTACAAGTCCATGGGTCCGGATGGGATTCATCCCCGGGTGCTGAAAGAGCTGGCGGACGTCATTGCGGAACCTCTCTCAATTATTTTTCAACGATCCTGGGAGTCTGGAGAGGTCCCGGTAGACTGGAAGCTGGCAAAGGTTGTGCCAATTTTCAAGAAGGGTCAGAAAGAAGACCCTAGCAATTACAGGCCTGTCAGTCTCACGTCAGTGCCTGGTAAAATCATGGAGAAGATGGTTCTCGAACTTATTGAGGCGCACCTGGGGGACAAAGCAGTCATTGGTCCCAGCCAGCATGGGTTTGTGAAGGGTAGGTCTTGCCTAACTAACCTGATTTCCTTTTATGATAAGATCACCCATATGGTGGACCAAGGGAAACCAGCTGATGTGATTTTTTTGGACTTCAGCAAGGCTTTTGACACGGTTTCCCATAGGATCCTACTGGACAAAATGTCCACCATACAGCTAAATAAAAACATCATATGATGGGTGAGCAATTGGCTAACGGGCAGGGCCCAAAGGGTTATGGTGAATGGGGCTGCGTCAGGCTGGCGGGCGGTCACCAGTGGGGTCCCTCAAGGCTCCATTTTAGGGCCGGTACTTTTAAATATTTTTATAAACAATCTGGATGTAGGAATAGAAGGTATTTTGAGCAAGTTTGCTGATGACACCAAACTTGGAGGAGTTGTGGACTCTGTTGAGGGTGGAAAGGCCTTGCAGAGGGATCTGGATAGGTTGGAGAGCTGGGCGATCACCAACCGCATGAAGTTCAATAAGAGCAAGTGCCGGGTCCTGCACCTGGGACGGGGAAACCCCGGCTGCACGTACAGACTGGGCGATGAGATGCTGGAGAGCAGCCTAGAAGAGAGGGATCTGGGGGTCGTGGTAGACAGCAAGTTGAATATGAGCCAGCAGTGTGCCCTGGCAGCCAGGAGGGCCAACCGTGTCCTGGGGTGCATCAAGCACGGCATCGCTAGTAGGTCAAGGGAGGTGATTGTCCCACTCTACTCTGCGCTGGTGAGGCCTCACCTCGAGTACTGTGTGCAGTTCTGGGCACCACAGTATAAAAAGGACATGAAACTGTTGGAGAGTGTCCAGAGGAGGGCTACGAAGATGGTGAAAGGCCTGGAGGGGAAGACGTACGAGGAACGGCTGAGGGCACTGGGCCTGTTCAGCCTGGAGAAGAGGAGGCTGAGGGGAGACCTCATCGCAGTCTACAACTTCCTCGTAAGGGGGTGTCGAGAGGCAGGAGACCTTTTCTCCATTAACACCAGCGACAGGACCCGTGGGAGCGGGGTTAAGCTGAGGCAGGGGAAGTTTAGGCTGGACATAAGGAGGGGGTTCTTCACAGAGAGAGTGGTTGCACACTGGAACAGGCTCCCCAGGGAAGTGGTCACTGCACCGAGCCTGACTGAATTTAAGAAGAGAATGGACTGTGCACTTAGTCACATGGTCTGAACTTTTGGGTAGACCTGTGCGGTGTCAAGAGTTGGACTTGATGATCCTTAAGGGTCCCTTCCAACTCAGGATATTCTATGATTCTATGATTCTATGATTATTCAAGAGATTTTTATGCAGCATGATAAACTCTGAGCATCTTCTTCCTTTGATTGTAATATCAGAGGAGAACCCAGCAGACCATAAAAAATAACTTCTGAAGGGAAGACACCTACTCTGTCTAGCTAATGAGAATTTTATACTGGTAGAATCTGTGTCCTACCTGTTTTATGTTTCACCCAATTTATACTGAGTCAACACATTTCTGCAATCTACCTATTAAAAACAGACTTCATTTCATTTTAAAGTAATACCTCTAGTTCCTCACCTGGTATAAAATGAAGTATCTCCACTAACTCTAATGGAAACTTGCCATTTTACACCAGAAGAGAATCTAGATTGTGGTCTAGAATTCATCAGCATTTCAAAATATAATCTGTAATCTGCTTTTGCACCCTTAGAATTATTTGGCTCATTGAGCCATAAAACTACCACAGAGGGGTGAGTGCAGAGGGATGAGTACAGTGGAAGCTGGTCCCTGTGGCACTCAGACTTTACTTGTCTTTCTGAAGCAAATTATTTTTTTTCCCTCCTTCTATCAGGTGTTCATAGCTCTATTCGTGGCTCTGCTGCTTTTAATAATGATGTCTTCTGGGACTCCCGTGACTCTCTGATGTTGTATCTCTCCTCATTTTCCTTCTTTCAAAATCCTGACATAGAGAAGGAAAAATAAAATGATAAATCCTCCCTTTCCTCTAGTCCTTGTTAGCATTCTGAATCATTATAGGAATCCTGAAATAGCCTACAGGATACATTAGCACCATGAATATTAAAAGACAGTTTAGGTTCACCTTATGCTTTTAATTCCCAGTGATCACAGTATCATAAAGCAAAGGGGAAGAGACATTAGATTGACTTGTTTCTCTTTCTGTGAATAGGGAGAACTACAGAAGTAAACATATGTCGTCCTAGAGAGATGGGGAGTGTGTGTGTGTATGTTGGGGGAGGGGAAAAGGGGGAGTATCTGAGGATAGGAACTCTTAACAGTAATTCTAGACACCACATTTTGGAGTTCAGTGATGAATACAGGAAGTAGGAGTAGAAGATTATGGGTGGAGAGACAAAGGTCTGTTTGCGTTTGTTTGTTTGTTTTTGTTTGTTTTTTTGCTTGTTTTCTATTTACAATAGGAAAACCAAAGCATTCTTGACATCATGATAAAAAGAACAACAAGACTTCTCAGGAGAAAAGTATAAAATAGTGGGATTCAAACAAGCAGGAAGAGATTAAATTGTGGTATGGGACGAAGAGGCGCTAGAGGAATCGGGCATATAAGAACAGGCACAATTACTTCTAAAGGAGTAGGAGAGAATTATAGGGGAGGGAAGAGGAGAGAGAGAAGTGAGTCAAGGGCGACCACAATTGAATGTGTGGGAGGATTTGATTAAGTCAGGGAAGTGTTTGAGCTGTTTAGCTAGAAGAGGAAGAAATGGGAAAGAGGAGAGAATTGATTTGTAGCAGAAAAATCAGTGTGGTCACAGGAATTCTTTCAGAGAGAAGCAACCATATCAGGACAGAAAGAGAGCCAAGGCAAGGGGCTGGCAACTGAACCTTGAGATGGTAAGAAAGAGAAAGTAGGTGCAAAAAGAAAAAAAAAATGAGAGAGGAAAGTGTAAAAAAGTCTGGGAAGAGGAAAACCGTTGCTACTGCTCTGGGAACTTCAGAGAGGATAAGAATGGGTGCAGAGGAACAGGGTAAATGCTGAGTAAGACTGTCAGAATGGTGGCAAAGTGGAGCACCACAATTTGTTCACAGAAAGTGAATGAGTACAGTTCGGATCTGTGAAGTCCAGGACATGTGAATGATGTATTTGAATAATACATGTAGGAATTGAGAACTAGGGCTGAGGATGGACCTGAAATGGAAAGGATGCTGAAACATGGAGTTTAGTATTGAGATAGGTTATAAGTACACAAGCTGAAATATTCATACTACTGAAATTTTACTACTAATCTGACCCTTAGCTCTTGGATGCAGTTGTATGGCCTTAGTTTTTTTTTGTTGTTGTTTGTTTGTTTGTTTTAATGCATGTTATTTGAAATATGTCCTATGTAATAAAGCCATCATTAATTTTCTGTGGCCCTGTCACCACTAAGATGTTCAAAAACAATGAAGAAATTGTTTTTATATATTCTCTGTGAGAAGATATTTTATTTTTTTCCATACTAGAAAGAAAGCAAAAAGGACAACATTGAAAGTATCCCGTAGATTTGGCCACTTAAGTTATTTAGTATCTAATGTTTAAAGGATAACTAGCAATGCTCATTTCATAGAAGTCCAGCCATCAGACCAAACTTCAGGATTTCAGTTTGGGGACTTCAGAAATGAGGAGTGCACGCACAGTTAGTGTTCGTGTTTAGGAAGGATGGTTCAGGTGACTTGACTAGCATGATGTTAGAAATCTATGGATGAGTGAAAAGTAAGATCCCAGTTCTCCAGGGATGCACTCTGTTACTTTATCCCTGTTATCATCAGTTCTCTTGATCTGCAATTACCTGTTCGTTCACTGTACACTTTCAGATCTCTGCATTGAGTGGAGACCAGAGTCCTATGGAAAAATAATATGATCATGTGTGATGGTTTTACTCAGGTGGGCAGACAAGCTCCACCACAACCACTCTCTCACTCCCACCCTCCTCAAAGAGGAAGGGGGAGAAAATATAACACAAAGAGCTCGAGGCTTGAGATGAGAATGATATATTTAAAGGGAAAGAGAATGGGGAGAAAAAGAAACAAAAAGAACAATAAGGCTGCACAGAAGCACAGAGAGAAAGAACGAAAGAAAAAAAAAAGTTATTCTCTACTTCCCATCAACAAGAGATGTTTGGCCACATCCTGGGAAGCGGGGCCTCAAAATGTGTAGCAGTTGTTAGGAGGACAGCACCCTCCCCTACAAGAGCTCCTCTTTTTATTGCTGAGTGTGACATCAGGTGTTATGGAATATCCTTCTGGTTGGTTTAGGTCAGCTGCCCTAGTGATGTCCCTTCCCCATCACTTGCCCATCCCCAGCCTGCTGTCTCCTGGGGGCTTGGAAGGAGTCCTGATGCTGTGCCAGTACTATGCAGCAATACACACCACACTGGAGTGATATCAGTGCTTTCCTAGCTACGAGTGCAGAGCACAACACTGTGTGGGCTGCTGCAGGGAAAGGTGACTCCATCCCAGACAGACCCAACACATCATGTAATTAATATGATCCCTTTATATGCAATGGGAAGAAATTAAATTTTCTGGACACTGAAAACAGAAATGACAAAAATAAATTTCTTTTACCTCTCACCCACGATTTGTCAGTGGTAACTTGTACAAGTTTCACACTGATGGCTAGCTAAACTCTACTACAACTGCTCTCTCAGTCTCCCTCCTTGAAGGAAGAGGGGGAGAAACTACAATGAAAAAGGGCTCAAGGGTTGAAATAAAGACAGGGAAGATTGCTCACCAATTACTGTCACAGGCAAAACAAGCTCCTTTCTCCCAGGTGCTACTATGCAGGTTTTTTGTTTGTTTGTTTGTTTGGTGGTGGTGGTGGTGGTGGTGGTGTTGCTGTTTGTTTGTTTTTCCCTTTCTTAAATCTGCTCTCCCAGAGGCCCAACCAGCATCTCTCCTGACTCTGGCCGGCAGCGGGTCCTTTTGGAGCTGGCTGAAGCTGCTGGGCTCTGCTCACAGAGGCTACCCCTGCAGCCCCCCTGCTACCAAAACCTTGCCACATAAACCCAATACAGAACTATGTGTCTGTATATACCTTTGCCCCCAGAACTGATTTGAGTTAGTTAGCAATGGTATATCATTCCCTCTGTGTAGACTACTGCTAGTCAACACAGGATATGCTTGCCTTTAGGATTCACTCAGAAATGTTGCCAGCAAAGGTACAGAGAGGAAGAGAGCTTCTGTTTTCACTTCTGTCTCCTGCAGGAGAGCGTCAGGATGGTTAATGTGGTTAACAGGACTCATTGTATCTAATATTTTCAAGACTGACAGCACCTATTAAGGGTTTGTAACTTCTGAGCATTCAGTTCTGTAGCTGTGGTCTCCTCACTAGTCAGCTCCCCATAGGTCTTTCCTATTTTATACTCAGCCCATTTTTAACTGTAATTAAAATTTTCCCAGCCTGCACTTTTTCCGGCATATTGTACTTCCTTCTCCAGAAGAAGAAAAAAAAAAAGGGGGGGGGGAGGGGGGAAGGGTGTAATTGTAAGGTTTTATAAATTAATAATAACTATATAATTTTGTATAATTCACTGATGTTATTAAAATGAGAAAATACATCTTTCACTATATCTGTTTCTACTTCTGTGCCATGGCATTAGTTGCTTCTCTTTCTGAAGGGGTTTAAAGGTTGATGTCTTTGCTGAGCCTTGAGTCCATATGTCTGTATGTACAACAGTAGGAGGGGCATGCAGATGTAGCACTCTCCTGGGGGTTATGTTCTAATGGAAGGGTAGTACAGCAAGCACACAAGGGGATACTTCCACCCAAAAAAAAAAGCAGCTCAGACCAACTTCAGGGAAAGCATCAGGGGATTTTTCATCTTCAGAAAGAATACACTAGCTTCCTGTCTTTCTTGGGGACTTACCTGAAACGTTTATAGAGCTTGATGAAATCCTGAGCTTCCATTAGGGACAGAAAGACAGAAAAAGAATTAAAATTCACATCAGCATAAGCTTTATTTTAAGTCTTGGAAATCTTTATTTTCTTCAAGGAAGAAAAAAAAATCATTAAAACCTGGGCAGCTGATGCTTTGTGACTTTCTGTTTTATCTCTGAAAATATTAAAAGTGCAGTCAAATGGTGTTATTTGTGTTTATTTGGCACTCCACTAAATCAGGCGAGGGATGATAAGATACAAAACTTCATTCTCATGGAACCAAATGCAAGTTTAGTCTTACGTTCCTTATGTGTATGTTGTCTAAATAATTGTCTTTTGGTCTCCTTTTGGTATTTTTAGGTTACAGGTTGGTCTATCCAGCTGGTTGAAGCAAATCAAGGGAGTAATGAAAACACGGTTGCTTTTTGCAATGCAGTGGAGGAGTAAGTATAGAAAAAAAAATTATTCAGCCAACTGTGACATTTCACTTATTTATATTAATTGGATTGGTTAGCCCTTCATTCCTGAACAGTGTCTTAATTCTGGTATCAGCTTAAATGCAGGAACACTGCTAATTTTGGTTTAAAGATTAAAATCCACAAAATATTAATTCCAATAATATTTTCTGCCTTTTCTGCCACCTTTATCAATGATAAGTACATCTTTAGTGTTAATGTGTGTGAAAATTAAGATCTATTTTGTCATTTACTTGGACAATATCAATCCTTACATAGCTCAGAGCAGGAAAAAAGAACTGGGAGAACTGATTAACTGAGAACAGAATTTTACTATATAATATCTTGATGAGGTATTGGATTTATCAAGCAAAAAAAAAATCCTTTAATTATTGTTTACAGTTTCAAGTTAATAGTGTGGCTTAATGGGATAGAACTTGTGCATGTGTGGGTTTTTTTGTTTGTTTGTTTTCTTGCTTTGTTTTCTTTTGTTTTTTACTTTCTTAATTTTGTCAGAAAAATTGTATCGAAATCTAACACCACTAAAAAATACATATTTATAGACTGTGTAGCTTCATTCCCCTTTGTAGACATTCACTGATCATGCTATCAAGTAGTTAGCACAAATGCATGTGTATGTGCTACACATATACATGTATTGTAGGGGGTGGGGGAGGGTTGTTGTTGTGTTTTTTTGTGTGTGTGTGTTGTTATTTTTTTATCCCCAGAAAAGTAGCTGGAAAATTGTGGGATTTTTGTTCTTTTTTTTTTTAAATAGACTTTAATGAATTGACAGCATTTAAGGTCATCCAAGCCTGCTGCTCTTAAAAGAAAGAAAAAAATACAGTTTGATATTGTTCTGGAATTAATAGCAAATATATTTTAGATTCATAGAGTAAATGGTCAGCTTCAAAACATACTTAATCAAATATATCTCAGTTTTCTTTTTTTTCTCCCCACGTTCCTCAGTCTAAACCCCTCCCCTTTTTTTCACTAACACCAGACGCATGTTCCACATGATGGGCTTTCCTCAAAAGCATTAGATTTTTGTCCAAACACTCTGCACTTGACTTTACACTCTAACACTCTAATTATAGGAAAAGCTTTTTTTTTTTTTTAATAAATAATTTTATTTACAGGGTTAAAAAACATTTAGTATTAAGTATTAAGACATTCCTGTCTTAGTATTAAGACATTTCTGTTTTGAAATATCTTTTTTAGCATGCATCACTGGCAAATACTCTTTTAAAAGGAAAATAGAAACAGCCTTTGCTTTCCTTCTATCTAATGAGAAAAGTATTCTCAGGATAAAATGTAACAGAAAAAAAAAATAATCATAAGTTTACTAATAACTAGCCTCTTAGTCTTGCCAAATGAGCATCCTTTCAGTCCTCAAACAATCTCAATAACTGTCAGTTTTATACATCAGAAGTAAGATGTATGATTCAGACTCTGTCCTGCAAACTTGCAGCTCCAACATGTAGCTCAAATAGAAACCCAACCTGTTTTTCTTTAGGTAATGTTTGTACAGGTAGCAGTCTCTAATTGCAACATGTCAATGTATACGTACCTAACTTTAAAAGTGTTTTCAAAATCCTTTATCATGTTCCTTTACAATTGTGGACATAACTACAGTGAACGCTCACCCATAGGTGGCTTCAGAATACATCTTAAAGCCAGTTTGATATCAGAAGAGGCCAGGCTGACAATCTCAGGGTTCAATGCTACAAAATGCAAAGATCCTCCAGCTCCTACTGATTTCAAATATATGTTCTGCGAAACAGAGAAATACATAGCACTGTGAAGTAGCAAATCCCTATAAATGTTAGTACTTTCAGCATATGTTGAATTGTTTCAGCGCAGAACGTGGCATGAGATTTTCTTCATGTAATATTTCTACAACTATGCCTTGGAAGACCAAAACTTTCCAAATTCTGGAATGACCATATTTTGCCTAACAGCTCAGACCAGAAGCCCTTTAATCACTTGAAAACAATAGGTGGCCATAAATAAACATCTCTGGAACCAAATGCATTTTTATCTAAAAGGCATAAAAAGCAAATTTATGTCTCCATATTATCTTAAAATATAGACAAGGTGAAGTTAGGGAAGAAGATGAGGTTTACTCAGTTTTGAAATGTCTGCCGGTAAGTTGAGGATGTGATGTGTGCCCTGCATGTCTACATAACCCATTAGTTTGCTGCTGGAAAACAGGTAGCGAAGTTTTCTGTCTTAAGCCATCTTTGGCCCTCTTATGGAAATAAGTTACAAGAGGAAATTTGGTGCTTGGAGAAAGCTTTATGCGTACCTTGCTCAAAAAAGAAATAGACTGACATCAACTACACAGGTCACCAAAGCAGCCTCTGTAGTATAATGATTTTTTACTATGAGTATAAATCTATCTTATGTACTGGAGGTATTGTCAAGCCTCATTTCCTCTCAGCCCACTGAAACATCATGCCCCCTGGCTTTTCATTATAAGAAATGGGCCGCTTCATTGGATTATTAATTTTGGGAGCATAGGCTTTTTCTTTTCTTCCTCCCACCCCAATTTTTTCTTCTTCTCATGCTATAGAAATATACGGCATAAAAGAAGAGTTTGTGCTGTTGAGACTTGAGTAGCCACCCTGAGGCAGGAGGGCATAGTAATGAAGAACTTTATGTGAGAGAACCATAGCTCAAAATATACTGTAGTCAGAGACTGTGTAAGGCACTGCCAACTCATATACTACAAAATGCTGCTTGAACTAACAAACAACAAAGAATGCAGGATGCTTAGTACAGGATGTTTGAGTTTTGCTGCCAAAATATTCAGTCCAATTAGTGAAATGTAAAGCTTCAGCTGGTACAATATGTACCCTTACCTGCAGCTGCAAAGTGTATTTGCTTTAAGAGCAAGTTTAATCTCAGCTGACAGCCATAATACCTGTGACTAGTGTTCATTAGAAAACGGCACCTCAGGAGAAATTAGTTTCTGCAAGTCTTTAGTAATTGGAAGGAGGAGGGGCAATTTATTTTATAGGTAATGGTATATAAGATCAGAGGGACAGAGTGACTGTAACAGTTATTGCTCTCTAAAGACATTTACATAAATGTCCTGGGTTTTAGTAATGAAGATTTCAGATTGGATCCTAGAGCAGAGTGAAAACAGGGACTTAAGATTTTGCATAGAAAGCACCCTCCTGTATTCATTTTGACCAGCTGTCCTGGTCACAGCTGTTTGCGCACGTGCTCTCAGTAAGCTTTATGTTAAAACTTTAAATATCAAAGCATATATTTGAGAACACTCATTTCTGCTGTACTCAAATTATTTTCTTCACAGTACACTGAAGTTTGTGTTTAAATTCCTAATAGCTTCATTGAGGTTATACTTAGCAGTGATTTTGTGAAATTTATGAAGATTTTACTGATTTTTTTTTAATTACGTGTACATATAAGATGTAGTTATATGTATGTTAAGTGGTATGTAGTTGTCTGATTAATGTATGAAAACATTTTACCTTCTACACCAGATTTTATTCCTAATACTTCTCTAAATAATATTATCAGTATCTTGTAGATTTTTTGTTTTTCTTTCTCATAATGCATACCTATTTAGGCATAATTTCATCGTGCTCTTTCAGAATCAGAAATGCCTATCCTGCTTATGACTTGAAGACAAACACTGGGAAAATCTGGAGTGTTACAACAAAGTTCCCAGACCATATTCTTGGTGAATCAAGATTTAGAATCAGCATTTGGACAGATTCTTCACCATATCCTCTGCTTCTTACAAAACATGGTAAGTGATTGAGGTATCCACATCCTTCTATGATTCCATTCTGTTGAGATCATAACAAAATGCATTTGTTATCTGGAAAAATACTTGGAGGGTAAACCTTATATGAATCTTGAGCTCATTCATTCAACATATTTGCTGTAAAATTAAAATCACACTACATAACCAACTTTGCTAACACGTAGATTTCTACTTTTTAAATCACAATCAGGACCAATTCTGGCAGTTTCAGAAGTGGGCAATATTCAGACTTCAATTCTTAAGGAATTTAAGCTTGTGCGTAATTTAAAAGGTAGGGGGTATCCACCACTTAGTCATGGAACTTTTCATATCCTTCACTCTGTTGCTAAATCCAAGACATAAGAGTGTGGTCATTAAGACTCTGCAACCAAGGTTATGACCAAGTCAGGGGAAGTACATTTTCATAAAATGAAACTAGAGGAATTCAAGATAGAGATAAGGACAAATTAGAGTAATTGAGAATTGGAACAGCTTGCCCACAGAAGCCATGAAGTCTGAATCCTTAGAGGTTCTCAAGATCTGACAGGAGATATCCCAGAGCAAGATGGTCTGAATTCAGTGTTGACCTTCCTTCAGGCAGGAGGCTAGACTAGACTGGACTTCCTGATATCCCTCTCAACCTGATCACTAGTGTTAGTGGAAAGCTGTCACTACCCCAGTATATCCTGTATCCATGGTGAATGGCAGGACTTTTGATTACAGATCTGGTAATTTTTATGTCTTAATCCACATACGTAGAGATGAAATAAATGAAAAAATAATCCCCTCCCTGTGCTGTTTCATTAAACGATAGTCTTTTGTGTATGAATCTTTTCTTCAGTTGTCAAAGAATTACTTGACTCTAACAAGGTGAGTGTTAGTTTGTTTGACAGGTTGAAAGCTGAAAATCCAAAGCTCTACAGAATGTCAGTCAGCATATATTAAAACATATATATTTATAAATACTTTAGAAAAGGTTTCCACATTTATTCATACAAGTTTGGTTACTTGTATTCAGAGCACCTACACAGTTACTAGAAAACCTGGAAAAGTATTAACTTGAATTGTCTTGAATCACTATTTTTTGGATACCATGAAATGAAGGGCCAAAGGTCCTGGGACACGTGGAACAGAAAATATTTCCAGCATTTCTGTCAGATAGTCAAAAGATCGATACTGAAATCCCCTGTAATGCAGAAGTTTTAACAACTGGCAAATGTTTATCATGTAGCATCATTTACCTTACAGATTGCTCAGATTGTCAGTCTGTGCAACTTTATTTACAGAAATACTTCAGAAGTCACAGCTAAAACTGATGGAAATGTAAGAAAATAGTCCCTAACATGAACTTGCTTACAGGCTTAATAAACAACAGGATACATTCATAGCAGGGGGGAGTTCAGTGTTTTGTCCCATCTAACATAATGGGCATAAAGAATTGTTAAATTATGAAAAAAACATTTGGCAAAGCAAGGGAAGGAAAACAAATCTATGGAGTGCTTATGAATGATACTAGCAAGTTTCCTTTTTTTTTTTTTTTTTTTTTTTCCAATGTGTGACTTGACCAATGTGCATCTTATGATCTTAATGCAAAATTCTGTACCATTCTCCTTTCTCTGGTGCATGTAAATTTAGCAAACAAGTACTGCAGTTTACATGTCAAACCATCTATTAGGAGTTACTTAAGACAGTGAGTTGTCAAAGGGCTGGACCCACGATATCAGTATAGCTGGTAAAAACTGTGTAATCAAAATGGTTTTCTAAAGAAAAGTGTCTTTGTGAAGAAAATGAAAATTTTCAGAAATAACTTTTGAATCTGTTGACACTTCTGCTTTTTCCCTAGAGAAAAACAAAGCAAAGTTATATATAGTAACCAACTCTGTCTCCCTTAAAATGTCAGCTGTTCTCTGAAGATTTTTCAGTATCACAGTCCCTTAAACTTCCCTTCAAAAATAGTTTTGCATTTTTTGGTTTGTTTTAAAACAAACCAAGTGGTGTAACAGCTCTGGACCAGATTTGCCAGCATTAATTGGCTGCTTCTAGGTTACTCTGGTAATAAAAATAAATAAATAATAATATATATAAAAATAAAACCAATTAAAATGGTTGGTTAGGCTCAGTTTCAAACTCATGCCTGAATCTGGAGCAGTGTAATTTAGTCAACATTCAAATGTGGATTACATGTTTAATTTTTGTAGAAATTTATTTAACTGTGGGTAGTTTCCATTTTTATGTCCAAAAGTTTATTTTTATGTCAAAAAGTTTACTTAAACCTTCTATTAATAGCTCTTGCAGCCATTAATTTTGAATCAATAAAGAAACAACACAAATGAAATACTGAAAGAAAAATCTACTTATATGCTTTTGTAGTATGATTTGCTGATAGTGAGATTGCCTACGAATTTTGGAGGAAGTTCAGACTTTATCTTGCACTGTGAAAACATTTTGGTACACTATAAGAAAACTTTTCACTGAAAAGTCAGATACTGTTTCTGCTGAAGAGTTATCTCAGGTTTGAAGCACCAGTGGTGGTGGAGTATGCATGGCATACCTATAAAGACTGGATTTATCAGACACATTTGCAATTTGACTGCCAGATTATGCAGCTATTCTTTTCTAGTTTTTGATCAGTTCTTCTGAAATGGGAAGAGAGGAAGTATATTGGAAGGGTTAGAAAATGGCTTTAAAAGCTGAAATATTTGTGGAAAAAATTGTCAAAATGATGGAGTACTTCTGAAGAGCAGACTGTATAAAGCATATAGCTTGTACATTAATTTACCTCTTCGTTATGGCTAAGAAAATACAGATACAATGAGAAGTAAAATTCTGGAGCCTACTTGTGTCTTGTGCAGCAAAAGGTCAACTTTTGCATTAGACCATGTTCACGTATGGGCAATGTACCAAAACACTGATCAGGAAAATGACTCAGTATTTATAGATTTGAAAAGATTAACCATTGGTCTCTTCCTTCCTACCTGGAAAAATTGCTCAGCTCTCCATTCCAGCTACCTAAAAAAACAGCCAGTTTCCTATAAATGAACATATATTCTATGACTAGTAGAGTATTTAAAGCAAAATTAAGTAAAATCAGATGTGGCTTGTTCTAATTCCTCTTGATGGAGCTAGTCTGCAGCAGTAGTGAACAAAGAAATTCTCATATTTTTCTCAAGAATATAACCTGGAATTCTGGAAGCTACTATTTTTCTTTCTATCTTTATTTACAGCTGGCTGTATTACTCACAACTTAATTGCGGAGATCCTCTGTTGCACAAATCAATACCCAGTCCAAGAAGAATGTCTTCTAAGTGTTTGTGGGTCTGATGAATTCTTACAAAAGTAAGTATCTCATTAATTGGTGGTATTGATTATGTATTCCATAATATAAGCTGTGCAAGTTACAACCTCTGCTTATGTGCAATGTAACCAGAACCATGGTGAAAGTAAGAGCATTATGTTCCAAACACCGAGTATATTGTTCCTTTAACTCCTGGATCACATGGCACTTGCATTATGTTCTACAGAGATTATTGTGTAGTCCAGAGCAAGGATGCAAATCTTGGCTTCTTTACATGAGCTTCATCAAGCCTCGAATATTTTGTTCCATTCCTTTGTCCTCTGGTCTTTCTCATCTGTTTTAAAAGGATGCTGCTAAATTCCAGTGTCTCACAGGAGAGTATTCATGTCTTCAAAGGGAAAAAACAGCAAAGAGATGAGAAACAGTATGAAACACAGCTGCTTAGCAGGTAATTTTTCTTTATACCCAGTTGCAGCAGTAGTGAAGGAAATGAAGCTAAAACTTTTGTACTGACTGCAAGTTGAAGGAAAATCATATTATACATACAAACAGGTCTTTCTGAATGTATATAGTCTACAAGTTAGGAAGTAAATGCTTTGATTAATATTCATTCAAGTAAACAACTCTGGTGGTTGAAAACACTACTGGACTCAGCTAGTTTTTTCTCACCCACTGGCATCTTAAATTCAGATGTCAGCCTGGAGAAGAGGAGGCTCAGGGGTGACCTTATTGCTCTCTACAGGTACCTTAAAGGAGGCTGTAGCGAGGTGGGGGTTGGTCTGTTCTCCCATGTGCCTGGTGACAGGACGAGTGGGAATGGGCTAAAGTTGCGCCAGGGGAGTTTTAGGTTGGATGTTAGGAAGAACTTCTTTACTGAAAGGGTTGTTAGGCATTGGAACAGGCTGCCCAGGGAAGTGGTGGAGTCACCATCCCTGGAGGTCTTTAAAAGACATTTAGATGTAGAGCTTAGTGATATGGTTTAGTGGAGGACTTGTTAGTGTTAGGTCAGAGGTTGGACTCGATGATCTTGAGGTGTCTTCCAACCTAGAAATTCTGTGATTCTGTGAAAAGTGAGCAGGTTTTTTTTTGAAGCGCAAGCTCTTGATGTCAGCTTCTGCTAAAGGAACGGTGACTTTAGCAGAGGGGGAGAAGCTGGCAATTCTCTGTGGTAACATGTTAAGCTGGTATTGCAGGAGTCACAGCTCATATGTTAGAGACATAACATTGTGTTAAAATACTGTATGTCTGTAATTGAAACGGAAACTTTTAGAAGCAATCTCATTTTCAGTATAGTGTAAAGATTACCTGAACTAGCCTAAAGCAAGCCAGCTTCAGTAATGAAAGTAATGTAGTTGTCAGAGCAAGTTGTGTCACACTGTGCAAATTAGCTTTGTCGTTGAATAGCTTGAATACTTCTGCCCTTATACAGGTACAGAGGTCAAGATGTTTATGGTCAATTATAATTTGCAACTAAAGGTGGAGACTTTAACATTTCTGAGTCCACTCCTTAAGCTCTCAGATATACAGTATACAGAGAGCTGTCTGAAGCACTGCACCACTGGAACCACTGAGCAGAGAGGCTGTACATAGATCTGTACATAGATCTGATCATGTAAGAAGGCTAGTGCCAAGGCTGCTGTTTTTTCCTGTTTTTTGTTTTTGTTTTTGTTTTTTTTTTTCCAAGTCTCTTCTGATTTCATACTAATTTCCAAAGAAAATGGAAATAATGAGTCTTTGTGTTGAGGGTGAGCTCAGTGCATTTCAGTACAGTGTACAGTATGTTCTAAATAGGGTTATTTTCACTGTTGAGCAGAACTCATCAATAGTGGATTACTTAAATTCCTGCATTTGCAGAATCTCTGCATGTCTCATTAGCAATGAAACAAGGTCAATAATGTCCTCAGCTTCTTTGCTTTGCTCCTTCACTGCTGTGCAGAAAGGATTGAGTTGCACTTCTGGCCTCAGCAGTTTGTAATTCTACTCTGTGCTGTATTTTCAGCTCCCTTTCTCCTGCTTCCTCATCAGAGTTCTGTGTCTGAAATTTGAAACCCCAGACCAAACTCATCCCTTGGGTAGCTTAACACAGCCTGCGGAGTTGCCTCAGGGTGAATTTTTTCTTATGTTTGGGCTATCTTAGTGCAAATTGCTTTCCTCACTATGTTGCTAACAGAGAAAATTGATATAGTTTTGTAGAGTTCTTCCCTAGCAGAGTACTTGGAAATCAGTCAGAGATGAATTCCAGTAGAAGTTCCCCAAGTTATGAGACAGCAAAGGGAACTAATACTGTGCTGCTCCTGCTTTATCGTAATCCAGAAAAAAAAAAAAAAGTGAAACCAAAACAGTGACATGGTGAATTGTTCTCAGAATAGTGGTTTAGTGAACCACACAAGTGAAGATCTGTCAAAAACTTTCATTTACTATTATAATTGACTGTATTAATGATCACCTATGATCACCTTAATGTGCCTTCTGCAAAAGCACCTGAAAGGCCTGATGATTTCCAAAATCCATTTAGTTTTCAGTGAGATGAGGAGCAAATACTTGTGTGCTAGTGACCATTATGGTCAGCACTGCAAGATTTCATCAATTTCATCATTTGCTGGGAGATGAGTGGTTGGAGAGCTGCCAGGCAGAGAAGGACCTGGGAGTGATGGTTGATAGTCAGCTGAATATGAGCCAGCAGTGTGCTCAGGTGGCCAAGAAGGCCAACAGCATCCTGGCTTGTATCAGAAACAGTGTGGTCAGCAGGGCTAGGGAGGTGATCGTCCCCCTGTACTCGGCTCTGGTGAGGCTGCACCTTGAGTACTGTGTTTAGTTTTGGGCCCCTCACTACAAGAAGGACATCGAGGTGCTTGAGAGGGTCCAGAGAAGGGCGACGAAGCTGGTGAGGGGCCTGGAGAACAAGTCCTGCGAGGAGCGGCTGAGGGAGCTGGGCTTGTTCAGCCTGGAGAAAAGGAGGCTCAGGGGTGACCTTATTGCTCTCTACAGGTACCTTAAAGGAGGCTGTAGAGAGGTGGGGGTTGGCCTGTTCTCCCACGTGCCTGGTGACAGGATGAGGGGGAATGGGCTTAAGTTGCTCCAGGGGAGTTTTAGGTTGGATCTTAGGAAGAACTTCCTTACCGAAAGGGTTGTTAGACATTGGAACAGGCTGCCTAGGGAAGTGGTGGAGTCACCATCACTGGAAGTCTTCAAAAGATGTTTAGATGTAAAGCTTAGTGATATGGTTTAGTGGGGACTGTTAGCTTTAGGTCAGAGGTTGGACTCAATGATCTTGAGGTCTCTTCCAACCTAGAAATTCTGTGATTCTGTGATCATCCATTATTTCCTTATTATGGTGATATCCTTGAGTTCACATGTGATCTGACTCACACAAGGTGTGAGTTCAGATTTCAAACAGCCACATTTTTAAAAAGTCAGAAACCTGCGTATAGGCTGCAGTTCAGTCCATAACTTATAAAGCAATCTGTGAAATTCTGATTTGGAACCTCATTGGTTTCTGGTCTTTAAGGTCATTTTATTTACTGATCAGAAATCCTGGCGTTGCCTCAACCTGCAGGCTTTCTTTTTTTTTTTCCTACACTTCCCTTTTCTACAGGCTTTTCTTACATTGTTGATAGAGTGCTATCAGTAGTCATTACTACCTTCTCCCTTCCCCGTCACTGTAAAGAGTATGTTAATATCTTCTCCAACTCATTTCCTGAAGTTCCTTTTCTCCATGTTCAGTCTAAATGCATCTGGAGACTTTTAAAAGAATCTTCATCCTTAAAAGGAGAGAGGAGTGAAAATCTTTCTCATCAATTTTTACCACTATTTCCAGAAGTTTCTGATTTTCATAAGTATCATTTCATAAGTATAGATTAATTCTACCTTTCTTCTCTGGATTTCCTAGCTGTGTGTGTGGTCTCCACTCCCTTACACTTGTCCTGTTTATAATCATCTTTGATTTTTTGGTGGGCTACGTACCTGCTGTTTCTGAAAATCCTCCCCTTGTCATCCCTTCATCCAAGACTTCTACATCTGCCTTTAAATCATATACAAATAAATTACATTGGGGTTAAGCAGCTAGGGTCAAATAACTACCAAGTTGTCAATGCCAGCAGCAAGCCAAAGACATATCTTGCCATGTGACAGCAAAGAATCAATCTTTTTCTTTTCTTTTTTTTTTTTACCTTTACAGCTTCAGACCAGAACCTCGGAGCATCCTGAAGTGCCTAATAAAACAAAGAACATGAAAATATATTTCAATTTTTGTTTTTGTTTTGTTTTGTTTATTGATCTGGCTGTTGTTAGTAAAGAGAGAGCTGCAATGCAGACCCAGCAAAGGAATATTGTCCAAGGGTAGCTGTAAGCTTTATTTCTAATTATTTTTTGGAAGGTATCAGATTTTTTTAAAATATCATTTTATATGTATTTTTAATTCCATCTACATTCTATCCACACTCTGTGATTTTCATAGTTACCTTACTGCTTTGCAGTTCAGCTAACATAGTGAGCAGGAGTATGGAATAGAAAAATCTAAATGCTTATCATTTATACTCACATGCTTGCCTGTGACCTTATTGATGACATTTTTTTTTTTTGCCTTGCTAATTATATTCTCTGAGAATTGAGACCTAAATAAGAATTGGTTTTCACTCAAAGTGAAGTTTAAGCTATTAATTATAGAGTGGGCTGAGTTATATTCATGCAGATTGGAATCATTAGAAGCCAGCACCTTTTGGGTGAATATGTTCTTTGTAAAAAATGAAGTTTATTTTCTCTTGTCGCTGCAGATTAAGTTTCTCATTCAGAGATGCTGCTCAGCTAAGTCTTCTTTTTTTTTTTTCTTAAGAAAAAGAGTCTGATGGATCTGCATTAGGATTTGGAGCTTATAGCACATCAGAGAACATTGCTGGGGAGAGGCAAAATCAACTAGCGGTGAGGGAATCACGAGAGTGAGGGATATTCCCCTTCTCTGCTTCTGATATGTTGTGGGACCACAGGCAAGTCACTTTGACCAATTAATTACCTTGTCTCTTAAAGACAATCACTTTGCCTTTTACCATGGAGCTTTCATCAAAGCTGTATTTTCCACATAGTATTCCAGCAAAAATAGGGGTAAAGCTGCTAATAATGTACTTTTAGTTTTGTTTTGTTTTCTTTACAGAGCTCAGAGCACTGTAAACCAGTTACTATTTACGATGCTATTCTCCAAAGATGGCTATATTACTTTTATATCAATAGTACAGATAGAACAGTAGTCTGCAAAAGTCCAAGCTGTGTAGTGTGTTTCAGCTTGGGTATGGCTAGAAGGTCATCTGTCAATTCATGACAAAGCTGCTCATCTATTTCTTGTAGTTCACTCTTTGTCTATGACAGGTTCCACATCATTTTATGGTGGCATTCATTCATTTTGTCTAGTCTGCTGTGTCACAATATTTATAAAAAAAAAAAAATTTTTTTTGCATTTGTGCAAATAAAACCCAGTCATGAAATCAACTGTACAGCCAGTACCTCTGACTACAGTGTTTCAGGCAACACTGCTATGTCAATAAAGGATTTGGTGATGTATAGTATCTGCCTGATAAAGCAGAGCTAACGCAAGCCACTACCATAAGTGTAATTATAGCCACAAAATTAAACCTCAGTTGATGTAGCTATTTTTGCCTGGAAGCATGATGATGTGGAATAATTACGCTGGTAAAAGATGTTTTTTGTACATTTGTGGTATAAAATTATGACCACAAAGGAATGTTCTGTTAGTGTAAATTGATATAGCTATTCCAATTTCTAGCATTGACTTGGGTAAAGTAGGCAGTACAGGGGGAATAAAGATGCTGGAGGAACTGCGGAAAAAGTGAGTAAAGTCTCACAGATGTGTGTCTATGTCCTAAGGTAGGTCAAAGTGGGAAAGATCAGAAATAATAGGTAAATAAGGGTAAAAGTTTTTGGTGTGAGGCAGTTCTAAAGGATATAAATATCACAGGAAAATTCATTATTTCAGTCAGTTTATTGTTAGACTTGATGAAATGAGGAATGAAAGAAGTTGCCAAAAAAAAAAAATAGCAAATTGGGTAGACACAACACAAATGTGAGCTGAGGAGCAACAAAAAAGAATCTTTATGTTGGTGTAGTCCCAGAAAATGTGAATTGGTCACTTGGGCTTCTGCTTGTAAAAGAATTTGAGAAGGGTTGAGGCATATTGGTGAGACACTTTCCAACAGTTACAACTATTTGATTGTGTTGATGTTAACTGTCTCTCACTTATGTTAAGGACTTTATGTCATTAACAAGCAATTTTGCAGATGTATGGAAGCACAATCAAATAACCTTGCTTCTAGATATTTGTCCTGTAGGATGGAAATGGGTTTTTCCTCCGTAACTTTTAATGTCTGTTTAAAAAAAAATCCCACATTTACACTTATACCCTTTGTGATCTCTAATGGGAAGTATGTATTTTACTTACCTATGGCATAGGGTAGGTGCAGAACGTTTATGAGATACATGAATTTCCTGTAATTGTACTGAGTGGCAATTATGTACAGCATATTTATTTAAATGTAACCATTCATTTTTGCTAGGGACTTCTGCTGCTGTGCGAGATGCAAGTCCTGCCTCTAAGTCATTCATAGGGCCAGGGGTAGTTTTGGGGAAGTAAATCCAGACAATTTTATTCAGCATTGTGGTTTAACCCCAGCAGGCAGCTGAGCCCCACACAGCCATTCATTTGCTCTCCCCAGGTGGGATGGGGGAGAGCATCAGAAAGGTAAAAGTGCAAAAACTCACGGGTAGAGATAAAGGTGGCTTACTGGGTAAAGCAAAAGCCATGTGTGCAATCAAAGCAAAGCAGGGAATTCATTCATTGCTTCCCATGGGCAGGCAGCCATTTCCAGGAAAGCAGGGCTCATCAATTGGAATATTTCACGAGGAAGACAAATGCCATTACTCTGAACATTCTTCATTCTTTACCCTGGCTTTTCTTGCTGAGCATGTCATTGTATAGTATGGGATGTCCCTTCGGTCAGCCTGGTCACCTGCCAGCCTCTGGTGCACCCCGAGTCTCCCTGCTGGCAGGGCAGCAGGAGACACAGAAAAGTCCTTGGCTCTGTGTGAGCCCTGCTCTGCAACAACTAAAACATTAGTGTGTTACCCCCCCCTCCATTCTTTTCATCATAAATCCAAAACACAGCAACACAGAAGCACCTGTGAAAAAAATTAACTTTATACCAGCCAAAATCATGACATTCAGACTCTCTTTAGGTGGAAAGAAATCACAGAATCACAGAATTGTAGGGGTTGGAAGGAACCTTGAGAGATCATTGGTTCCAACCCCCCTGCCAAAGAAGGTTTCTTAGAGCAGGCTGCCCAGGTAGGCGTCCAGATGGGCCTTGAATATCTCCAGAGAAGGCGACTCCACAACCTCCCTGGGCAGCCTGCTCCAGTGCTCCATCACCCTAACCGTGAAGAAGTTCTTTTGCATGTTGGTGCGGAACTTCCCATGCTTTATCTTGTGGCCATTACCCCTTGTTCTGTCCCCACAAACCACTGAAAAGAGGTTGGCCAAATCCCTGTCTCCCACACCTCAGGTATTTATACGCAGTGATGAGATCCCCTCTCAGTCTTCCTTTCTCCAGGCTGAACAGACCCAGGTCTCTCAGCCTTTCCTCATAGGGAAGGTGCTCCAGGCCCCGTATCATCTTTGTGGCTCTCCACTGGACTCTTTCCAGGAGATCCTTGTCTTTTTTGTACTGGGGAGCCCAGAACTGGACACAGTACTCCAGGTGAGGCCTGACCAGGGCAGAGTAGAGGGAGAGGATCACCTCCCTTGACCTGCTGGACACGCATGCCAGGATCCTGTTGGCCCTCTTGGCCATAAGGGCACGCTGCTGGCTCACGGTCAACCTGTCGTCCACCAGGACCCCCAGGTCCTTCTCCTCAGATCTCCTCTCCAGCAGGTCGTCCCCCAGCCTGTACTGATATGTCCGGTTGTTCCTTCCTAGGTGTAGTACTCTGCACTTGCTCTTACATGTATTAAACCTCATTTGGTTTCTTCCTGCCTAAATACAGTTTACATCTGAATTCTGAGTTTTCCACAGCACTTGAAAAGAATCCTCTTTCTTTCCTTCATGGCCCAGAGAGTTATGAAACAACTATAAGACTGTATAAATATGGAACATCCCTTTTGGCACTCTTGTGTCTGGAGACTTGAAAGAAGCAACATGAATCTAATTGAACATGCACTAGAGTTAGCTTGTTTTGGAGATGAACTTGCCTTTGCAAAAATCAGTGTCATTTTTCACAGCCATTAATTCCAAAGGATTTTTTTTCTTAATGTAAAAATATGTTTAACACTGAAACCCTTAACGATGAAATTATTTTTGCGTTATTCCACATGATTAAAACAAGAAAAGGAAGGTAAAGTTTGAAATGATTTTTGATCCAAGAAATTTTGAGTGGTAAGCTAAAGCTGCATTATCACTCTTGGCATCTTCTCAGTTATAAGTGGGTTAGAAGCTGCTCTGAAGAGGCAGATAAGAATAAGGAACTCCCCTGTCATGGGAAGCTAGTGCATCCTTGACCAGCAGAGTAGTTTTAGGAACCACTCCAGCTGAGTGAGTAGAGGTCTATGTCTGACCTTAGCTGGCATGTGATTTGAGGCAGTGGAAGACTGACTCACAGGTTCTTTTACCATCTTTAAGTGAGTTACACAGGATGAAACCTTTGATTTCTTTGAGAATCAAGGGGCAGCTGTCTTAATGTATATGATTTTCAATCTTATGGTTAATATTTGATTTTCAGAATGGGTATCAAACGTTGCAAGTCATCCTACAGTGATGCATCCATACTTGGTGTACTTGCACTAATTTGGGATTGAAGAATACATTGACAGTCTCAAGATTTGGGAGCACGTACAGTTTGTTTCTCTGTTTCATTGCTGTTCTGTTACAGAACAGAACGGTCAAAGTTACAATCAAGAGATGATTCTTAAGTTGTTTCACAAGAAATCAAACCAGGACCAAACCCCATCAGTTTGCACAGATGTAGATACCAAGCTTTGTTTTTATATTATTCGGTCTGCTTTGCACTGATAATTTATTCCACAAGTGCTTTTAAGAGAAGGAGAGAGGTAGAATAAAATGGGAAATGATATGTAGAGATAACCATTTGTTTTTTTCTCCCCAAATTGTAGTAATTGTACTTTGGGCAGCCATGAGAGTCTTCGCAAGTCAACCACCTGCATTCAGCTTCGGCTACACGTCACCACAAATTTGAAACAAAGTTTGGCTCGAACGGTATGTCTTTTTTTCCTCCACTTTCTTTCAGCATGTCTGAAGGAATAAAATTCCACCAACCCTTTTATGTAGCAACCTGCAGTAATAATCAAAGAGGTTATTTGCTTTCATGAGTATGCATATATTATTGCTGAACTCTAGTTAAAACGTACAGGGAAATCTCTCTGCTTTGCTCCTGTGCTTATATCTAGTATGTCACTGTAGAGAACACACAACTGAAAAAGATGAAAGGCCACCTTTATAGAAATAATCATTTTTATTAGACTTTAATGTTGATAATGATTTCAGTTTGTCAATGAAGTGTTTGTTGGTGGTGATGGTGGTTTTTATTGGACTGTCTCTATATAAATATGACTGGGGAAAACCACTCAAAGTATTGTCTAAAATGAATCATATCTGTATTTTGGTCACTATCACTGAAAACCAACGCAGGCTGATAAAAGCCAGAATCTCAGTGTGTTTGTGCATGTGTAAGATGCCTTAGAACATGTGTGTGTGTCTATACACATGCATACATCCTTAGAGAAAATATTTTTTAATCAGTTTAAAATCAGATACATTTCTATTCAGATCATTTGATATTAAGCAACCTTTCCAACAGATTACTGAGCTTTATTAACCTTGACCTATGGTAATAAATGTGAGCTTTATTCCCAGTGGACCACCTTGAATTACCTCTAACACAAAGTTTTCAGTAGGGCATAAACTTTGATGTTCTGGGCAGTGTTCACCGGCAGTGTGTTGACGCTCTTCACAGATGCCTTTGTATAGGTATGCTATCAAACTAGGTCTGTCAAAATATGGGTCAGGTGACACATTTCTGACAAAAAAGAATAGGGATGTTCATTTCATTTCTGCTGTGTTACCATAAGTAACATCAAGTTCAATATAACATTATCATATGAAGCACTAAGAGAGGAATATAGTAAGGCCAAACATTTTTTTTTTCTGCTTAACATCTCAACTATTCTACAGATAAAAGCAGAATAATCCCATGGTAGTTGGTACAGCTATGACTTAATTTATTGACACTCTTCACTGCTAATATTATTCATTTATGTGTTCTTAAGAAAACCTTGATTCTTCTTGGTGTAGCATTGTTCAAAATAAAGTAATATGAATAAGCACAGAAGTTTTCATCACCAGGTCACTTCTTCAAAAATAATTCAGATCAATGAATTGCCAAATACTTGCTCTCAGTCTAGAGTGAGTGAGTGAATTGATGTCTTCAGAAGGGAGTGAGTAAGCATCTCTCTCGTGTTTATTTTCACCTTATCCCCATATTGCAGCAGCAAAAATAACATCTAGAGATCTTTGGAATGAGCATTGTCTTGGGAAATTATCTGTGATACCTTGCTGTCATTTGACTGTTGTTGAGATCAAGGCAGGGATCAGTGTAATTTCCACTGTCTAGATTAACCAGACAATGAGCTTAGATGGTGGTTATAGTCCTTTTTGGTTTAAAATATATGACAATGCATCCTGTGTTAAGAGATGGGAAAACTTTTTTCTGTACAGCAGAAAGAAAGATGGGCTTGAGAAGAGTGAAGTAATGGTGATTAGATACAATTATGGACATGCCTAAGTGTATGTAATGGTAGAAAGGTCATTTACGTCTTTTAGGTCATCACCTCTGTTAAATGGAATATTATATTACAAGCCCTTCTGCTGGGCAGCTACAATTTCCAATGTTTTCTGTGTGAGAATTAAGTGACATAAATTAGAAGTTTGATACACGGTCATTTTGCCACTTATATGCATACAGAATGTGCTGAAGGTATTTTTTACACTAACATACTGAAAAGAGGGAGCCTCAGACAACTCACCAGCAATCCCTTCAAACTTGTGAGCCAATGACTGGGTCTCTACAAGATACTCTGTCTTCAATTAAAAGCAAAAAAAAAAAAAAAAACAAAAAAAAAAAAAAAAAAAAAAAAAAAAACAAGAAGGAGCAAATGAAATTATTTGCTTTTGAGCATGATGATATGTACAGGGTTCTCTTCTGAGACTTAAAATCTTGCTTGTGTGCTAAGAAAGCAAAACACTATACCAACACCATCTGGAGACTGCCTTCATAATAATTGTTGCTGATGTTACACTGTTGAAATCGGGATGCGTATTTTAAAATATATGTCTGTATATGCAAATAGGTATTATTTCACTATTAATCTTAATAACCAATATAAGTGGATGCTTATAAGCAATGTGCAATTTATTTTTAAGCTAGAAAATGTATAAACTTTGGCCAGTAACCATTTGAAATTCTTTTATAAATTCAGCTGAAAAGCATTTTTAAGGTGAATATTTGCTTGCTTTCATTTTATGCGGAGCTGACTTTCCATTTTATGATGTATTAAGAAAAAGTAAATTGTCTTGAACTGAGCAGTCAAAGCAAGAAATTTGTCCTTGGGCATTACTTGGAATCACAGGCTTTTCATCCAAAGGATGACCTTTAGTTTAAATTTGTTTGCTTGTTTTACAGTCATGAGATTTACAGTCTTAACACTCAAACAAAACTCATTTAAGACACGAATCTTCAAGATGCCAGATTCCTACTCAACTTTCAAATAGAGCTTATAAAGCATAAGGTTATATTATTGATATTATAGAAACATATTGAAGCCCAATTTTATTCCACATAAACAAAGAGCTTCTCTTGACAGCAGTGGGAAATTCTGCACCTTGTAGATTTATTTTCCACATGTTGAAATCTTGTGAATTAAAATGAATGTGGAGAAAATCCAATGTTCTCTTGTCAAATGATGGCCCAGTATCCATGGGTTACAATACTCTGAATAATGAGTGCTAGATTTGTTTTCACTCCATATCTCTCCTATTCAGTATTTTATCCTAGCTGGTCTCCAAGAGACAACCCTTAAGCAGGACCTCCATAAGTTGCAGTGGGTCACAAATGTTAACTTCCTGGTGTCTGGGGGATGTTTAAGAAGAGATGTACAGTGGGATAGCATAGAAGCAGAAAAATTTATCCAGATACCATTTCCAGAGAGTGCTCTGTCTATTTAAGAGACTCATTTCTTCAGAGCTGTCCCCAAATCCTTATTGTCCATGTAAAGCATAAATCTTTCCAGGAAAGAGTCAGCAAAGAATTCTTACAGATTTCTAATGAAAGTCTCACTTGTTTCCAGAAAGGAATTGATAGGCTAAAAACAGCCAGCACATGATACTTCCTGAAAGTTCAAAAATATATTTATTTTCATATACACCAGTGTTACTGGTGTTAATGTTTTACCAGATGTAATGAGTTGTGTGAACAGTCAAAGCATAAGCTGAGAAAAGTGAAGTCAGTGCTTCATCACAAGTAGGATTTTTTCCATTATCTACATGTTTGCATCTTTTTAGACAGACAATGTACTACCTCAGATAGAATGGAGCCATTTCCTTGTGTTTAAGTATCCCTTGAAATTGTGCTACTGTAAAATGCTTCATGTCCTATTAATATGTTCAAAGTCTTTTTCATCTCTGTTGAAGTTTGACAGGTCTAAATGAGGATTAATATACAGAAATGCATTGTGGAGGTCTGGAGTAGAGACTGAGCAGCTCCTGACATTTCACATTTGGAAATAGTTACAATTACCACATAGAATGATCATGAGCAAACAAACAAAAATAGTCTTTCAAGCATTATTTCAGGCAGGTAACAAGCTTGGAAGACAAACTAGCAGTGTTCAGGCCATTAGAAAATATTTATTGTTGCAACGGATTTGTGGAACTGTAATTAATAATGTACAATAGGGTTTAACAAGGAAGGGTGACATCTTAAGATTTGTTCAAGTGAATTATTGATCACTACTTTATGATAACTGACACAGCTGTGAAAACTTCAGGCCATGAAGTTACTTCAGGCTACTAATAATAGCAAAGAATGTGAACAACTCTTGAGCTGGCATAAGTCATAGACCAAAAGTTTTCCTCCAGCTCCAGGGCGTGCCTGTGACAGAGTACTCATATCAGAAAGTGTTCTGCTTGTGTTCTGCTGGGGCACCACCAGCAGATCTGTCAGGACAAGATAAAACCCAACAGAGTAGACACGTCCTATGGTGCACTGCAAGCTACAGTATTTCCTTTTGCTCTGGACCCAACCTCATAGATTTCTCTGGATGTGTGAAGACCTGCTCTTCCACACTAAACTCCAGAACCTGAGGTAGTCTACGCAGAGCTCGCAAATTCAATTCTGTTGTTATTGTTGTTTTTCTCTGGAGCTTGCAGCTCTGGTGGTTGTAAAATGTATTTGAATGTCACAGGTTTAAAGGCAATTTAAAAAAAAAATAAATTTTCCTCCCTTAGAATTCATATAAAAATATGGGAAGGTAATGTGTTTTCTTTAAAGACATAAACGTTGAGACTTTTAAGATGCAATAAAGCTTTCCTGATCCATCTTATGTATATCTGCAACTACTGTTTAATTTTGTTAGTTAATCTGTGCTTACTCTTGGGGAGAATTTGACCTGTGATCTGCAGGATCCTTCAGAATGTTGAACTTCGGAATATGTTACTTTATAGAAATCTCCATTAACATTGTAATTTAACTAATATCACAAAAGCATATTCATAACTTGACAGCCTTCTATATAATAATCTCCCATATGTATTTAGGTACTAAATAATATCATTACACCCACGTTTCTGCCACAGACCATTAGATCCCCTAAAGCTTTTGGCTCAAATCAATCACGTATCTGCTTTCTCTCTGAGCTTCAGGGCTCCCTCTGTTCAGTCTGTGTTATATTTTTTCCAAGCTTATCCCTCCCTGTCCTCTAGTCTTTGCAATGTATGAGAGCAAGGAGGAAGTTTGTTATTTCTCAGTCTTGATCAGTATCTCCAGCCTCGTCGATCACTCAGTTCAGATGTGCTGTGCTTTTTGTAAGATCTCCAAAGGTAATAGTGTGACAGATAAGCATGCAGTGACATTATAAAAATGCAGAGTAGATTTTGCTGAATATGTACACCACTCATCTGTAGAATAACAATACTTTTTTAAAAAAAAAATGGAGTATCATTTCCTGAGAGTCAAGATGCATATGATTTGCCTATTGTTCTGTGTAGAAGTAGCAAATACAAATCACATTAGAGAATGCAACAATTGAGTATTTGGAGTTAACTTCGTTCCCGGAATAGGAAGGTAGCACTACGGAGTATTCTCAAGGCCCAAGATGTTACACCAGTCCTCTAACATGCATTTAAGTAGCCTAATAGCTATTAGAGATAAGAGCCTCCAAACCTCTGTGTAGGTAAGGGCAAAAGACAGTTTTGACTAGTAAGCAAGAAGTGCAGTTACTAGGTCAGAGCTCTGCACAGTGCAATTAGTGCTGCACTCAGGAAGATGGTACACATAAGCTATTTGTGCATGTCTTGCAATCATATTTGTAGGAACATTTCTGTGAGGTTCAGAGGCAGATCCTGAAATCAGCTGAGAGACTGTCTATTCCCAGATGCATCCTGTTCCCTAACCCCCAGATACTTACCCTGTCTTATCCCCTGTAAAAATTTAACTCTTTCACATTACTACACTGAGATCAGCAACACAGGTGTTTGCATATGATTAAATACCAAGACAAAGTGCAGCTTAGAGCTTAGGTCCAAGCATGTACATTTGAGGTTTAATACATGAGAATGTTTTTCTTACCTTCACCCCCTTCTTCATATGTTTAATTCATCTTCAACTTATTGCTACTATGTGATAAAACAGATAGTAACACTCCAGATGGAACTTCTTTGCAGCACATCTGTAAAATATCTAGCTTAGATCATGCTATTTAAATGGTACTATTACTAAATGTTTACATAGCAATCTAAAGCAGAATTTATGTGAATTTATCCATATTGAGCTTTCCACCACTAGATGCCTCTAAGCTGTTTCTGTTTTCTTATATAATTCTTCTCTCCCTCACCCCTCCCAAAGTTATATTTGTTCATAACTATTATTCCTTTGTAATCCAAGACCAGTGAATTTGGGGTCATGCTTGTCACAAGCTTTTCAGTAACTTTCCTCTGTGTGTTACAGGGATCTGGGCTCAATCACAAGTCAAAGAAAGGTCAGGTTTTTCAGGATATGGTGGTGGCCTGATACACTGGCAATATAAGTCTGGCATGGGCTGAGCTGCCTATCTGTACATCAGAGGGAAACAAATCTGTGGGGCTGGAGGAGAGAGTACATCTGAAGAGAAACAGGTTTGTTCAGCAGAATGTGTCAAGGCGAATTCACAGAATTGTTCAGTACAAGCTGGTGTAATATCAGAGAGCTACCAAATAAAATCTCCTGAAAAAACAATGTATCCCGTAAGGAAGGAGTTCCTGAAACAACAGGAACTTGGAACAACAGGACTTTGGAAAATACCAAGCAAATCTGTCTAATGTACATTCTTCCTGTCATAATATTATACCTCATTATATACTTCTCTTCTACAGTACGAGGATGACCAAAGACAGTTCAGTGTGAATCAGCTGTTAGAATATACTTGTGCTTGGAGACTGACTCGGTAAGAACACTGGTATTTAATAGGATTTCTAATTGTAATTGTTTGTATTGATAGTGAGCCTCCTGAGCTCAAAAGACAATTCCAAGACCTGCTGGGTACAGGAATGATACCAAAGGGAAAGAAAATTGATATGGTGTTTTAAGACTCTTCTTTTCAGACCTTATTGGTTGCTTAGCAAAAATCTATAATTGTATATAGATCTACCCAGTTCCCACCCTTTCATGTTGTTGAAGAGGTTTCATGTTTCTCTAAGTTTCCCAGGATTAGAGGAACCGTAATAATCAAGTGTGTGTTGCTCTGACAGAGAGAATGTTTAAGAGTAAATACTGTAAAAATAATTTACTTTTCATTATCCTTGTGGTTTTTCAGTTCAGTCAAATTTTGTTTTATTTTTTATTGGGGCTAGCTATAACAGATTTTTAACTTAGTACACAAAGTGTGTCTGACTCTAAATCTAACCTGCCATGGATAAGCAATAAATAAGATAGATTCCTCATTCAACTTTCATTATGTTCCATTTCAAGCACTTAGAAAGAAGTGCTGTTTAATGCTTTTTGTAATGTTTTTCATCAATGTGTCATAAAGTACTTTGCCAAGGAAGCTAGATGCCACACCTGTCATTTAGCAGATGGAGGAGAAACAGAGAGGTTGTGAGTTGTTCAAGGAGAATGTCTGGTGCTTATTGAGGACCCATCTGCTTTCCTAGGAGCATGGCTCAAATTTTCATTCTGGTCGTTGTAGAGAGATCAAACTAATCATACAGTCTATATATACACCACTTATTCACTGTTTTATTTCTTATGATGTAAATTGTGTGGCCTTTTTCATTGCAAGGAGAGTCTTCAGAAGGGATATGTGATAAAAGATGTTGAGTTGCAAAACTCCTCAAGATTTCCTTTGATGCTGTAGGGCAATGAATAACTGATAGCATGGGCAATAAATACGTTCTTCAACCACAAGTTCAGTAAGTATTGAAAAAGTAGAAGCATGAGCTGTCATAGATTGCTCTTTTCTGCTTGTCCCATTCGTTGTTCATGGGTGGGGAAAAATAATTTTCCAGCAGTGGTGACCCAGAATGATCTGCAGTCAGGCCCTGTGCTGTCAACTACATTTCTAACTCAACTGGAAAAAAAAAAAAAAGGGGGGGGGGGAGTAATATCTAAGTAACAAAAGTTTGCTGACCATAATGTGCACAACTGCTTGTGATGATCTGTAGAAGGATTTTACAGTTTTAAGTCAACCATGTGATAAAATGGAAGATGAAATTTTGAGATGATAAATGTAGATGGGAGGAAAGAGTCTTAAATTCATGTATGAAATGCATAGGCTCCAAGTTGAATTTTACCACCAGGAATGAGAAGTTCAGTTTATAATAAATAGTTCTGAATGTCAGTTTGGTGCACAGTGGTTGCAAATAAGATAAAAGCAAATGTTGGGAATTATAAAAGGAATAAAAACAAGAACGACAAAAACAAATATTATGTCACAGGATCAGTGTAGGGTATTTGTTTACCTTGAATACTGCTGGCAGCTCTGATTCTTCCATTTCAAATATGATGTAGTAGAACTTCAGTGAAGAGAAGGGCAGTAAAGATTCTAAGAGGTATGAAATGCCTTCCATATGAGAAACAAATAAAAGACAATATACTGATAAAGACATAAAAAATCCTGATGTCTTTATCCAGAGAAAGAGATGAAAGATAGGTATTTTTTTAGATGTAAAGTATATATGAAATTGAGGAGCACAGAAAATGTGCATAGGAAAGGATCATTTACTGAATGTTCCAATGCAAGTATAAAGGAACATGAAGTGCAAGTAGCACATTCAAAATGGTCAAGAATAGGCATTTCTTTCTATAAGATCTAATGAAGTTATGTCTGGGCACAGTCCAGGTTACCCACGACTGTGACCAGACTGTTTCTTCGTATCTCCAAGGATGGAGGTTCCACAGGCTTGCTGGTCAACCTGTGCCAATGCTCAGTCACCCTCAAAATGCAATAGTGTTTCTTTGTGTTCAGGTGGTACCTCTTCTGTTCCAGTTTGTGTCCATTGCCTCTTGTCCTCTCACTGGGTACTGCTGAAAAGAGGCTGGCTTCGCCTTTTTGCACCCTCCTTTTGGATATTTATATGCATAGATGAAATCTCCTCTCAGCCTTCTTTCCTCTAGACTAAACAGTCCCAGCTCTTTACACCTTTCTCCACATGAGATATGCTTCAATCCCTTGAACATCTTTGGGGCCCTTTATTGAAATCTCTCCAGTATGTCTACCTCTCTCTTATACTGGGGAGCCCAGAATTGGATGTGATACTCCCATTGTGGCCTCACCAGTGCTGAATGGAGGGAAAAGATCACTTTCCTCAACTTGCTGGCAATACTTTGCCTAATGCAGCCCAGGATACTAATTAGATATTTTTTCCCCCTGCAAGGACGTATTACTGAGTCATGTTCAGCTCAATGATGTCCATGAGGACCCCAAGGTCCTTTTCTGCAAAGCTGCTTTCTGGACAGTCAGCTTCCAGCATATATTGATACATGGAGCTCTTCCTTCCCAGATGAAGAACTTAGCAGAGAAGAAAAAAAGAATTAACTGGAACCTTACTTTTTTTAATCAGATTTGCTCTCACAGGCAAATGTGAACAACTAAAACCAGCAGCCCCTACATTGCTTCACTCACTGACTTTCACTCACTGGCTTGAAAATTAAACACAACGTAAATTGTGAGTGCATCAGCAGAACTACAGTCCACAGTACCAGAACTGAATTTGGCCCATAGTCACCAACATTGAGGTGCTATAACGTGATGGCTAGTCTGATCCACGCATTTAGGCAAAACTCAGCTAGGCAGCATGGTTGTCAGTGGTCTTTTAGAAAGGAAACCCAGTGCCATCCCACAGTAGGTACTGCTGCCAGGAAAATGGAAAAACTAATGCTGTTAAGTATATGCTATATTTGACCATCTCCTTCTTCCCATATAGACCAGTCAGGAGCCAAGACTAACTCTCCAAAATTTTTCATACTTTTATTTGTTTTTATTTTCTTTTCAAAGCCTTGCTAAAAAATATCCAAATTTTTCTTTAGTATCAAAAAAACACTGAATGATCACTGGCTGGCATATTTCTGCATAATTCATATTTCTGTTATCATATTTCTGCACAGCTGTAAAAGATGTTAAAGTATTTGGTATATATTATAGTAACATGACTATTATTAGTTATCTAGTAGCTGAAGATTCAGGATAACAGTTAGAGGTACCTTGGTCATCTTGTTGCATGTTGTTTTTGTTTTTTTTTTCTGAAATTTTTATGTAAAATTATGACTACTTTATACATATATTTATCTATACAAAATTCTCTAGGGTAGAATCAACTGATGGAAAATACGGGTTCATTTGTTTGTTCGTTTTTTAGTTAGTCGGCTAAGCATGCTAGTAAGCATGCTTAACTGTGTGCATCAAGGCAATAGGGCAAGCTTACATGTCCAAAAGTACTTCTGAGCTGGGTAATGGTATGAAAAAGATGTTATGCCTGCAGACCTCGTCAAAGCAAAGCAACAACTTGTATTAGCTATGATTTAACAGGATTACAGGAGGAATTGCCAGGCAGCTTCTCAATGCTCAAACTGCCTGGCTAGATAAGGCTAGTGCAGATTGCAAAAAAAAAAAAAAAAGCCATCTGTAGGAGAAGGTGAACAGTAGGCATGTACAGGGAAATGCACTCTGGTATTACCACAAGGAAGGTCTACCTGATTATTTATTATTATTATTATTCTGTGTGACAATTTCAGTGAAATTTCCTCCTCTTTCCTCCTCTTAGCATATGATATATGGTGAAAATCTAGTGACATACTGTACAACCTATACTTTGGACCATAGTTGCAACCCTAAGCTCTGATTGCTGTAAGCCTAGCTTAGGTACATAAGGACTCACACGGTTCCTCTGTAAACAATATTCTGCTTGCTCTGAAGTAATCAAAATACTTTGATGACTTTCAGCTACCAGTCCACAATGCTGAGGAAGTTCCCTCTAATCCTTCTAATGAGAGTGAACCCTAGTAGAAAGGGAATGTGGGACATAAAGGAGAGGGAAAAGTGCGAGCGAGAAAGTGACATTTTAACAAAAAACAGAACCAAAATAAACAAGTACAAAATAAAACCCCAAAGAAGGCATGTAAATTGAAGATTCCACTTTTCCATAAAAGCACACGTATACTTTAACTAGTATACCTAGTACTGTCAAGGTCTTACAGTATCCAGTTATCAGTGAGTAGGCTGGGCAGGATGTGTAAGTGGGAATTAAGGTTTTCCTATCATTTTCTGAAGACTTGACCCTATAGATGTAGTTGTCAAAGGAAAAAGAAAGTGTATTCATTTATGCAGTAACTTTAGCCATATGCACATTTTTAAATGGCAAATAAAATTTCACTGTGCTTAAAATACAGTGTGATTATGATTAGAAACAGAAAATGACACAAATATTTCTTAAAAAGCAAAACTGGCTCTGGTTATGTTATGGATAGCACTTGGAACCTATGGTTCTAAAATGGTAAGATTTACAGCTGAAACATCAGTCCTGCAGTTCAAAAACTGCAGTTCAGAAAGGCCTGTGCTCTTCTCTTGTTCATAACCCTACAACATTTAATGAAGCTTTGCTGAGGCACAGCAGTCTGTCTGCACAAAATTTGTGGCAACCTGTGTAGTTTGACAAAGGTATGGGACTACAGTGTGGCAGATGTCTCCCACTGAGTTAAACCAGTTTTCAGGATTTAATTGAATGACAATGTAAAATCAACTCACAGCTGTGGTAATAGTATGGAAAAGGCAGTTGCTGAAATGGTTTGAGCATGTAAACTTTAGAACTGTAAGCAAATAAAGTTTAACAAAATCTGTAACAATTATGCCCCTTTTTATAATACACATTTTTATACTTTTGGCTTGTATGGGCTTTTGAAATGTAGAGCATTTTCAGATGTTTTGGAGATGTTTGCCTGTTTCTCTGCAGCTTTACAGCCTGAAGTGATTGAGAAACAAGGCATCGTAGCATATACTTAAGTCCATCTTTCAAGGTAATGTGTAAGCACATGCTTAATCTTAGAGAAATAACTGGGATTTAGAGTTAAATAAACATTTAACTAGGAAATCACTTCGGTAGTTCTTTCACTTGTGAAACTTGTATCCTCCAGCTAAAAGAGGACTTCTACATCTACACTCTGTGGCAAGTGGCTACTGAAGAGCCACAGAGAACCAGGCTCACGAATACCAAATGCTTACGCGTTTGTCCTTATTTTATATCAACATTAAAATCCCTGCTAGTTAAACTATTTTTGATTTATAGAATGGGGAGGAAAAAAAAAATATTCTCTTTATCCGACTGCTATTAATTTGATGTTGTTCTCTTTTTTCTCCAATTTCCAGACTGAACCTTGTCTCAGTTATTATGAAATATAGAGATCAAGTGGAGCATCTATTGCAAAATGAGGTATTTGTTCTCACTCCGTTATACCAGAAAAGCATTAACTTCAATTTGAAAGGTATCTGATTATTAATCTGTCTCAAATGTAATTAAAGAGGACTTTTAATTAAGGCTGCTCAACCTGACTTTGGAAGGGTATAAATTCTATTAACAAGACTTGAGATTAAGAAGAATGTGCTACAAAGGTAAAATATCAGAGATGACTGTTTCTAAGCATCAGGGAATCTGTAAATAAAATAGTATCACTGGGTTGACAGTATAATATTTTGAATTAGTAGAGGTATAATATACATGGTACCTGCAAAACTTGTCCTTGCAAACTTTTTTTGCAAACTCACGGGCAAGTATCTACATATTTAGGATATATATATATCCATATATATATATACATATATATATATATATTCAAACTTGAGACTGCAGAATTAGGTTTAGGCAGAAAAAAAAAACAACTTATAAGGGCTTTTTCTAAAGTATTGTGGGCTGCCAGTTGAATATTACATCCCTGAAGGAAATCTTAGTTTTAACTAATGTTTTAGGCAGCATTTAAACCTAAAGGCCAAATGCATATTTGAGTGGTAGCCTGGAAGAAAACAAATATCTACTTTATCTGAGTTTCAGGTTGTTATACTAACTGAATTTCAAAGGTTTGTACTGGAAAGAAATGAGTTTTAACTCCTTACACTGAGGTGTGGATTTTTTTTGAAAAATATGTTAAAACCTAAAATTACTGTTTCATTTAAGAAATGTCATTTGTACTGGTCCAATTTTTAATATTTCTGGATGTTCTTAATTCATGGGCATTGCTATTTTGAATAGTCAGAAAACATATAAATGTACATACAAGTATGTGTGTATATATATACACATAAAGGCACATATGCATACAGACAAATATTTATATATCAATATATGTACATAAATTTATGTAGGTAAATGTATTCTACATTTTTATTTATGCAAAGTGTATAAAAGTTCAAAAGCTGTTGAACTGTGCCAACTACAAAGAAAATCTCTGGTTTTGATAGTGTAGTCATTCACTGAACTTTGCTTCTGTAAGCAGTATCTCAAAGGAGAATTTTTAGTGTATAAAATGGGATGCAGTCATAGACATTTGGAAAAATCAAGGGCTCCAAACTCAAATGTGCATATATATTTCTTTACTGAAGTAGACCCATCAGTATAATTACTCACATTCACTTGAAATTTTAATGCCTATAATAAAAGGATTCAAAATTTAAAGGTAGCTATAGTCTCAAAATTAATGATACATTACAATCCATACTTTGCAATCTGTGCTATATAGATATTATTCAGACTTAAAATCAAACACTGTTAAATTTGTTTTTGATCAGGATTTTTACCTTGACTAGGCAATTATTTGATCGTTAATTTATCTATAAAGGGAAGACAGAATACTTTTCAAGTATTCATTTTATGCACCAAATATGCATATTCTACTATGGAGCTAAATTTCTCTGTATTTTTTTTTTTTCTTTCTCAATGTGGTGTCTGCACAAGGACACTAAAGAAAGTTTATGTGAGTTGGTTAAAAGAACAAAGCTGCAAGTTAATGACATAGGTCAAATCACCATGCAGATGTTTTCAATCAGAGGAGGCATTGTAACACATAGGCCTTTTTCAAACTAATAGTATTAAGAGCTAGTGTTACTGCTTTGCTTTAATAAGTGGCTAGAAAAAATTTGAAGCTGTGATGTAATAAGTTATAGCCATGAATATACAGTTTAAAAATAAAAAAGAGAACCCTTGACTCATTCTTTGAATCTTTGTTTACTTTTTTTTTCTCTCTAAAATCTGAGTAGATTCACTTAAGAAGGTTTAAAATTGTGGTCTTTAACTGCGCTTTATACCAAGGTTAGATGGGAATAATTATTTTGAAACCAGAACCTGCATCATTGCAGAGAGATGGGACACTTCTTAAACACTATCCACACTCAGTGTGGATAAGCCAGTGGGAGTTGCTTAGAAGTACACACACATCTGCTAAAGTTCTTTGCTCAGATGGAACTTCCATAAGCATTCAATTTTAATCAGACAGATCCTGACATCCTCAGTTCAAAAATAAATTAAAATAAAATAAAATAAAAATAAAATAATAACTTATTTATCTACCTCCTTCCAAATCTGCTTATTTATGGATGCCTTAAAAAGCCATGAAGATACCAATGCATGACTTCTGTGACAAATCCACTGTCATCTACATTGGCAATGACCAATAAATGGCAATTTTTTATAATTATTATTTTTATTTTTTTAACAATGGATAAAACCTCTAAAATTGAGAAATGAAATGTTTAGGATATCCGATATCAAGTAGGGTGGATGTTTCATGGGTGCGGAAATTGATGCTGTTGGGGTTGAAATTTAGTGTTCCTAGAATCTGTCCAGTCAGACAACTAAGCATTTTAATTGCCCTAATAGTCTGACATCCAGTTTATTTTTAAATCTATTCAGACTATACTACTAACATAGAGAGAAAACATTTAAAATTTTTAATACGGACTGCAGACATAGCTTTTTTTTATCATATAAATAACTTAAATCCAAAAATATCCTTCAAAGGTTCTGCTGGAATTTACATATGTAGTGGGAAAAAAATCATATACAAGATGTTGACTATAAATCTTGTTGACTTTTAGGACATCTATAAAGAAAGTATCTTACTTTTGTAAGATAAATGAATCTCTGCCTTCCCTCATTTCAGGGAAAAAAAAAAAAAAAAAAAAAAAAAAAAGAATAATATATGCACAAAGGGAAAAGGAAAAATTGTACATGTTAATATCTAAAAAGAGAGTGCAAAAGAAGTCATCACTCATAGTATTTAGTACTACACAATTTTCTTATATGCTTACTGTTCCTTGATGTATAATCTGCTTCTTAAAAGTAGCTACTGTATACAAAGGTATATGGTATAGTAACTTCTATAAAAACATTAAATACTTTTAAATTGATCTCTAAACTGAATAGTATATTATACAGAAATAGAGATGTTCCTCAAGGCACCCAGCTCTCTGAGAAACACCATATATATGTGTATATAAAAATATGTAATGTGGGCGTTTCTTTCTCTCCAGCAGTATAGCTATTGCTCTACTCAAGAATTACACTTGTGTTCATGTAATGCTCATTTACTTCTCAGAAATTGGCCCTGCATGTATTTGTCTGTATCAATACAAAATCCATTTTTCTAATAATCCATATCCACATGCAGAGAACAACAACAAAATAATAACAAATGAAGATTGTATTTATTTACCATACATATAGTATTGCATATATACACCTGTATATAATTTTTATTCAACTGCACAGTAGACTAGCATATATAATATGTAATTCATATATAATGATAATATAGCACATATAATATTCTATAATGCTTTAGTTTTGTCATAGTTATAGATGCTAAGAAAGCTGTATCATTTGTAAAGGCTCCTACTTCTTTTGGCAATGTATGTGTGCATAGAGGGGAAATCCTACAAGAGCTCAATTTAAAAATCCAGGTGATAGGAGATAAATAAGCAGGAAGGAGAAGTGCACTCCTTGTAAATTGCCAAAAGGGTGAATCAGCTTCAGTCCAAATGAAGGTCTAAAGTTTTCAAGAGATCACAGGCAGACATAGCTTTTTTCTCGCTAGAGCCTCTAGTATGAAAAGATGTTGCTGTTTTTATTTTTTCATTAAACAAACAAACAAAATCAACTTACATTTAAAAATACAGTTAAATATGAAATTAGTAACCTCAATATATTTTTATATTTATTTGTATTAATGACAGGTGTTAACCTTCTCAGTACTATCTGAATATAGAACCTTAGCTTGAAAACTGAAATTTCATCTTAGTTTGGTTTCATACCCCTTTTAAAGCATGAAATGGATGAGTTAGAGAAATGACTTTATCAGTACATAGACATGCTGTAGCTGACTGAAAGGAATTTTTATCAGTAGGAAAACATGGAGAATATTTTGTAGAAGAGCTTCTGCTTTTTCAGAGAATGTTTAAAGTTTAAGGAAGTCATATAACTGTGTAGTAAACACATATTTTTTATTTATTTATTTTCCTGAACATAGGGTACTTGATACTTATGAAGAGTTTTTCTTTCCTTTGGGATTCAAATTTCTTCTTGAATTCCCCAATGCATATCTGACATTATTCATGTAGAGATTTATTTTAATGTGGTAGTATGTAAAAACTTATGAATTTATTATCAATAAGATTTAATAGATTGAAATATATATATATACTCTGCAGAAAAAACAGTTACAAAACTACTCAGTCCACAGGTGTCAGTTTATGCAGCCTCCCACACAGTCACTATTTTTAGGAGGAACATGGATCTCTGCCATCTCCCACAGAGATGGGTAGGAGACAATAGTGGGGATAGATTCACAGTAGGATAAAAGCCTCAGAAAGTTTGTGAATCATTTAGGTTCAGATTTTCTATGAAGTTTCTTATAGTGCTTCTACACTTATGAAGTTCAAATAAACCTCCATTTTGCCTCAAGATCAGTCGTAGCAAATTTGTCACAGTTTTCAATGGGGTACATTTTGTGGAAGAAAATTGGATTACAAAAAAAAAAAAAAAAAAAAAAAAAAGCTATACCTAGCAAACTATTGATCAGTAGCAAGTTTGACATAGCCAAACTAATGCTGTTTGCCTATTAAAAACAACAACAAAAACAACAACAACAAACTTTTCCTCTTCTTTCTCTGTTATCAGCAGCATAAAGTTGATAATGTGATTGAAGTTGCTAAAGCAATCTGCAGTATCCTCTGCTTTGTGGAAACCAGAGACATTACTGATGCAGTCAAGAAACTCCTTGCGGTGCCATTGGTGAAAGCACAGGTAAAAAAATAAAATAAAATAAAATATATATATATATACAGACACACACTGAAGCCTTCTTAAGACTGCCTTGACAAGCTGATGTCCTATTTTATTTTTGGAAGTGGAGCTCGAATAGATGTGTTTGCCAAATAGAGAAGATGCTTGCTTTCTCACACCATTGCCTTCTTACAAAGCTGTTCTTTCTCTTTCTTCCTTCTTTCTTTTCTTTCTAATGATTTTTTTGTCTATGTCTCATGATATGTCTAACACCTGGGACAGAAAAGTAAACACTGGGCTATCTAATGTTAACTGGGTTAATCGGTGAATGTTAATTAAACATGCCTAACTACATAAAAGGAATTTAATTATTCCTGATAGGCAGTTTGAGGTCCCATACATAAGACTGGAGAAAGCTAACAATTCATTTTATAACCTTTCTCATGTCATAGGAGTGACATACAGCTAATTAATTATCCTGTCATTCATATGCACTTACACTTGACAGGTTCAAACCCTTAAATGCTCATCATTTTACAGGGGCAAGGTTCTCATTAAGAGGTGAGAAGACTCGCCAAAAAACAATGTACTAGCTGAAGTGATTGGAGTGATGCTCACAAAATACCTTTAATCTATGCATTCTTAGCCTTTGTTCATTCCTCTCATACGTTGAGGTGGGGATAGAGTGGAGCAGTAGCTTCCAGCTTAAGTATAGTACAGCACCCAAGCAAATAAACTCTAGAGTATCTGTGATGGTTTTCTGCAGATCTGGGTTGTAAGTAAAGCTATATGTTTCTGGAACAGGGGACACTAGAGCTCACAGAGCAGATATTGAGCATGGTCCTGGACAGAACCAGCTGTGCCCTTCTAGAATTAGTTACGTGGGTGCTTTCTCTCTGAAGGGTAGAGTACTGAATGTTTTCTCAAGATGAAAAGCTGGTAAGTATTGTTAAGGAACAAGCTGCAAGAAAAAACATAGCTCTGTTTTGATGATGTTGCTCAGAGCTGACCAGCTGATTCACTTAAGTGTACTCCCCTGCTTTCTTTCCAGGTCATGGTTCACTGTAAATCTTGTCTGTGTAGCATCCTGAATCTTTTTGTGTCTGCTTCAGTGTCAATTATTAGAAATCACTATTCAGGTTAACTAACAACATAAACATGTTTGTAACAGTGCACATTTTATCTGGCATGCCACTGATTCAAATGGAAATGAGAGTATCTCCATTTAAGAAGAGGGTTGTTTTTTTTTTTTGTTTTTTTTTTTTTTGTATTAGAGGGCAAATACAGTAGAGAAAGATAAAAGTAACAACAAGGCCTGCTTTTCAGTTAAACCTCAGGTTGTCCTCTGAGATGTCAGGCAGATCAATACCTTCCCCTTGAGAAAAGTATTTTGTTAACCCAGAATATTTAAGAGGTGGATAAAGAGCTTGCTCCTGTAAACAGATAGAAGAGAGTAACAGAAGATAGTCTCCTTTAGGAAGGAAATAGAGCAGAAGTAAAGTACTAGGACTAATTTATTAAAATGTTTATTTTGGAATGAATGGGAATTGTTTTAGTGTATTTTCTCTTTGTGTGTTCAGGTCAGCTCTGTGAATCCAACATGTAAACCGCCTCTTCTGACTGGCTTATATTTACTGAGTATCCATAAGTCCATTTTCAGTGAATTCCAACAGACAGATATAGTGATCAAAGAGACAGATTTGTAGCCCAGTTAGTATTGCTTGTCCCGCCTGTCATGACATGAAGAATAAGGTAATGCGATAAAAAAACTAGGAGTGCAGGTCATCTTTCTCAAGTTTAATGTTTCTGTTGATCATGTTAGCTTCTGCTTTTCTTCTGAGTCACTGTCATGCAAATACTGTTCTAAAATAACTGACGAACTGATCATTATTATTAGGCAAATAATTGAATTATGAGCTAATCTATTCTGTTGTGTAAAATGAATAAAAATAATATGAAACCTGCTCCAAGGGTTTCCAGCTTGCCCTTGCTCATTCCATAGCATGTGTCCAATGCTGGGGAATTTCCAGCTCGGCTTTATAGACTGTCTCTAATATATTGAGGTTCTACTGAAACAATTTCCATGTACTTCCTCGTATAGATGGAGTAATAGTCTTTCCTTTTTCTGTCTTCTATCTATTTCAGTTATGAGCTCTTCAGAGAAAGGAATGCCTTTCTTTATCTGTATGTACATTCTCTAGAATAGCAGAGTGCTGGTCCTGGCTAGAATTTCCAGAGAGTAAAAATGTTAAGTGATGGTGGTGATGATAATGATTGTGTTTGCTCATCTGTAGTGAGAGAAATGATACTGTTCTTAAATACACTCTTTTGAATGTTAAAGTTGAACGTTTTATCACTAGTCTTAAAATACTTTTCTGTCCTAATATTCCCATAAGAAGCTGCTTGTCTTCACACTTCGGTTGAAGAATACTGACTAGATTGTTACTTTTTTTTTTTTTTTTTTGAAAGAAATACATTTTTAAGATATTGAGTTCTTTGTTCTTCTAACATTTCCTTTCAGGCTTTGTTAGTTGAACTTTTTGCCTGTCCCTTGAAACCTTCCTATAAAGTCTGTCTACGACCTTGACTGACACCCATCTCCCCTTAGTCCCTTACCTGGTGAAGCAAACCTGACTAACAGCTGACTTGAAACAAACTGAGGGAGGGGAGTTGAACTGCTGCTGCACCAGCATATGCTGCTGCTATATGCTTCTCACTCATCTGAGAAATAAGTGCTAGGATGGTCTATTAGACTGGCAATCTGTAAAAAGTTCAGGTCTGAGTCTATGAAGAGCCTCGTCTTGCTCAGCAGCCACAGAAGTATAAATGTCATAAGTCAGTAAAGTATATTTCTGCATGTTCTATAACTCAAATGCAGCTCAATTTTATGAAAACAGAGATTACACATAATATAAAACTACATTATACATAGAATAGTATACAAATATATAAAACAAATCAGATTTTATTCATGTTTACAAATATTTATACAAACAAAATAGACCAGTTCTCTTCTGTATCAACATATGTAGCCAGAATTAGTACTCTGGATGAATGCTTAATGGAGTACCAACTCCTCCAATCCCTTTTCAAGTCAATCTCACACTGAAGTGTAGGGGTATTTAATGTGAGTTACAAATCCTGGTCAAGTGATTAAATCTTGCCATATTAGTCTATCCTGTCAATCTGCTTTGTGTTTCTATTATGCTCATCAACACTGTATCCCAAAGACTCTTTGTTAGGGTGGAAGACAGGAAGGGTGCCTAACTGCTACAAGGATCAGTCTTTTCTCAGACAAGCAAGTAACTTGCACCACAACTGAAATGAAATTTGAGGCTACCTGTCACAACTCAAATACTGCAGCATTACAGTCTGGATAAGGGCAAAATGCCAGAAGAAAAGTTCTAATTGACTTTTCACCATGTTTTTGTGATGCTTTAGTGTAATGTATGGTATGATTTTGTTTGGAATGCCTTTTTACATTTTCATTTGACAAGCTCTGTGTGCACATAATGTATCAGGGAAACTACTGTTTACTCCTTCCAATGTACATTACATAGGATGCAATACACATTTGCTATTTGATATGTGCAGATATACATATCTGTACATGGGTGCTCGCTTACTTTAAAAACAACAACAACAACAAAAATCACTGTTTCTATTTTTTCATTTTTTGGGAAAAAGCAAAAAAAAAAATAAACAACTTTCTTCAAATTTGTGTTCAATTAAACTATACTTATTGCCCTCTTACTGCCTCATTGCCCGTACTATGAATTCCTCCAGTGTGGCTAAGACTAAGATGTTATGAAAGCAACTGGCACAAGTGATAGTTTCTTCTTAACTGATTGTGTCTCTTTATAAAGGTGATTCATTCAGTCTCTAACCAATCTAACTCTGGGAGTTTAAAATCCGTTCAGGGGAAATACTGGGCCTGCTGTACAACTAACGTTTTTCATCTCTCCTTTTTCTTCCCTTCTTACAGCAGCTTACAAAAAGTCCTATGAGATCAAATCCTGCCAGAACAGGCACTAATCCACTGTATGTTAAATGAGCTACACTATGTTGAAATTATAAGTGCTGTTCCAAAAGGTTGTTTACTTTCCAAAATCTGAGAGAATTGAACAAAGGTCTCCATTCCCATTTGTCTTGCTGCATATAAAGATTGTGAAAACATATTTCTCAACACAGAGGTTGCTTTTCTTCCCTCAAGTAAGCATTTGACTCCTCTTCATATTTACCAGACAACTGCTGACAACTCCAAGATGGGTACCTGAGGGATGATATACTTCGAGCATTGCACTTCATATGTCACATCCACATGAAATGCCATTTTTAAGATGCCTCTTGCTGAATACATGTGTATTAATATGTAGCATCCTCAACCTGTTGCAGAGGGATTAATGACTGTAAAGGATAATAAACCTTGTGGGGACATGGGTTTATACTGCAAGCCGTGGGCATACTGAAGCACCAAATTACCTTGACAGACTCTCTGGTTGAGTCACACCTCAGTTAATATATTTCTATGTCACCTTGGTAAATGAGAGTCTGACGTAGGAGCCAGACAAAAATAGGGCTGACTGTGCTGCCAGCAGGGGAAGCTTTTGAGCTGAAGCTGGCTTGGTGCAGAGCTCCATGTCCTGCCAGCAGATTTTCTTATATGGAGAGGCAAGTACGTGCACTGTAGCAACTTTTATTTTTACCCAGTGTATGAGAAGCCTGGAGCGAGGCCTGACTGTGGCAGCTATTGGGCTTGGGAATTTAGTAGAGCAGCTTTTTAAATAAAAAAAAATCTTTAAAGTTAGCCTGGACATTTCAGGCTACATAACTTACCTGACCTTTCAGAGGCCATAAGCACCCAGCAGTTCCCATCCACAGCACTGGGGCACCTGAATTGAGAATCCAGGTACTGCCCTGGATGTTAGGCATCAAGAGCTGTGGTTAGGCAGCCAAGGCCTAAATGATCCGTGGATCACTGTGCCTGGTATTTCCTGTTGGTCAATCCTAGTTAGCTGTCTGCTTGAAGGCCTTTGAAGGCATAGCTGTTTGTGCTGATTTGTTGCAGGAAAACAGCTTATAGGCTGCCTGAGCAGGAAGTTGGTGCTCCTCAGCTTGGAGAGGAGGTCAAAAACCTGGCTGAGCAGGCCAAGGCGTTGTGGTATTTGTCTATACAAGACATGCAAAAGAATGGATGGGGTTTTCTTACCTCTACAAAACCAATGCAAAGGCTGAAGATGTGTATGCACCTTGAATGCAGATTAAGTGCTTCTTTGTATTTTGACGTTCTTAAATACTGCCAGAAATCCCATCCTGAGCAACTTGTCTGAGCTGCTAGAGGGAGCAGGGGCTAGAGATGGAAGGTAGGTAAGTAATACTGGTCATCAGTCATGACCAGTATTGTCATAACAACGTTCCCCTTTTTCACCCCAAACAACTTTATTTTCCATGAGTACTGTCCCTAACACCATTTTACGTGCTATCTGTTCTTTTCTGAAGTAACTGATTACTTTTTCCCTTGGGTTTTATCTTTCCAGAATACACTTCAATGTGTGGAAACACCAGACAAAGGTAAAGTTTTATTTTTTAAAAATTCAAGATGTCATCAGAAAATGTTTTGCTGTTTGTTTGTATTAGTGAACTGTTTTAGTTTGCATATTGCAGATGTTTATGTATTCAGTTACATGGTAATTATGCTAAATACAAATTTAAGTGATACAAAAATATAAATGAAACATAGCATTTCCCAGATGAAAGAACATATTATATTTAGTGGTGGTCATAGTAGTGATGACAATGTTATTTTTAGTAGCTCTCCTTAACCCTGATTATTTATGTAGAGAAAAGAGAAAATAAGGAACTTCTTAAAAGCCTGAAAAAATAATTTTGTGTGTGGCTTTTCTCCTCAACTCTAGTAATTTTCATTCCTCCTTTCTTAAGCTTCAGCTCTTTGTCATCTTTCATTGTGTAAACAGTGTTGTCTGGGATGATATACTGTCATAAAAGTAGGTTAATTAACAGTAATGGACAAAATAATAGACCCTACCTTATTTAATCCCTCAGATAAAATCCACTTAGCATCACTGCCTCAGTACTGTTAGCATTACTAAAGAGCTGCTCCCAGGCTAAGGGATGAGCAGGAGTCTGTCCTCTTATGAGTGTCTGTGTTGGGTTCCCTGCGGTGACAGCCACCTCCAGGGCTCAGGTCCTGCCCTACCCCATCGTGGCTGCCTGCATCCTGTAACCAGAGCACTACGCTGACACTCTCAAAGGGGCAGCCATCTGCATTTCAGGATGAGACAAGGTGTGCTGCAGAATGGCAGTCTGTCTGTTTTGTTTGAGGAAAAAAGTGTCCATTTAAGATGTACTTTTTCTCATTCCCTCTTTTAGCTGCTCTTGTTGCAATGTGCCCAGAGAGGTAAAGAGGTGAACCAACCACAGAGATTGCAGCAGCATTTCAAACACAGATGTGATTTAAACGAAGGACTCCAAATTCCAGGCTTGTTGTTCCACCATTATTCAGTTTCACAAACAGCAAAAAAAGAAACAGCAATTCTATTTGTAAACTGCCAAGAAAAGCTAAGCAGCAAGGGGACCAGGGGAGTATGGGGACAACATGCAAGTGTAGAAGGGAGCAGCTGGATGGTAAGGAGTTTATAGGATTATTTTCCCTTGGATATAGTCATTTATCCCTTAAACACTACTAATGGAAAAAAATGGTTGAATACAAAAAGGAATTAATAGTTACTAATCAACATCTACCTTGGAAATCACCCACTGTTCCAGAAAACCTGTCTGTAAAGGATTTAAAGCATTCCTGTACTTAATGATATTTTCAAGGTTGGGCTTCACTGAATCAGCAGCTTCCTCAAGGAAAATCTGATTTCTTGAGTATAAGCAAAGGAATCTCTCAGCTTTTTACTCTACTTTTCTGCACCTATTTATTTATGCCAGGAAACTTTTAACTGCAAATATTTATACTACTGTTTGTTCTCGGCACGCCTGAATTTCATAACAATTGTAGGATCCTTTTGGTAATGTAATATTAGAAACTGCAACTTACTGATTGCAAGTCAGAACTTGCCAGGCCATTAGTAATTCTGTGTAGAAGACTACATTCAAAGTTTTCCAGGGTAACCAAAAATTCAATTACATGCACTGATATACATTTCATGTATGTATTAACACACTGTGCATTACATCTAGACCTACTAAATAAACTTCTAAAAGACAGCAAAATATTTAAAGCTAGGCAAACATGTTAAAACAAAAAAGTCTAGATCTCATATCGAAGCCTGTTATTAAGGTTATGTTTGATTTAAAAAAAAAAAAAAAAGTAAAAGAGCAATGCCCAAAACTGATCTGCTGGAACCTAGAACTCATGCCCAGGAAGTAGATAAAAGCATTACACACATCTGTTCTTTTGGGGATCAAGAGCTTTCTTCAGTCACAAACACCTCAGTGCTCACCTTCATGATAATACCATGGGGTCTCCCATCCTGAGGATACTGAGCCTGAGAAGAATTCAGATGGTATTTTCACCTGCTGAGGCTAAAAGTAAAAATCACTTGGAAGGTAAGACCTGCATTCCAGGTGAAACTACCAGTGTTTCTTTTTTCCACCTCATTGGCTCCCTGCCCTCTTTTTACTTCATTATGCTTAGCTGGCTAAATGGCATGCATGAAAAAATTTGCAAGCCTGTAAGTCAAAAGTAAAGTAAAATCACCATCTTAACCTAGGGCAGTTTTTTCCAGACCTAGGAGAAGTGAAAAAGCATGCTTTTTGCAGCACAATTGCAAATGAAGTCAGCACTGACAGTTGAGAGGACAGGCTACATTTCCCATTTGTGCTGTTCTTTTCTGTTTCTTTTTTGTGTTCATGCTTATCTTCAAGAAAGCAGGATCAAACTCAAACAGCAGGAGTAATAATCAGTTACTTCAGCTAATATTTTTTGCTGTTTTCCTCCTTCCCCCAAGTGACAGTTATTACCTTGAGTATCATAAAAGACTGCCAAATGGTGCTTTGCTTCTCTCCATTATAGCTTCTCACTCCCACAGAAGAGAAAAGGATATAAGATAATATCAAAGTGAAAGTTTTACTTATTATTTTGTTTAGAAACTGCTTTATTTTTTCTCTTTAATAAAAGATTAACAGAGGTTTAATGTTAGTCATTCACCATGCACTACTCAGGTCAAAGTGTATATTCAAAATCTTAAGCCTTGATTTAGCGTTGCAATAACTGGTTCTATTAACAGTGTTGTCTCTGTAGACCAAATTATTCCATTTCTGTGAACAGAGTAGTACTCATCCATGCTACATCTAAGTATGGATCATGTTCTGTTCCCTGTATGATGTCCTCAGAAAATAATACTAATGTTGGACTGCTAAACGTGGTTTATTTTTCTTAATTCTGAGACATTATCACCTTTCTGCAGTATATAGTTTTCCCAGAAAATAAAGAATAAGATTATTCAAGTTAATAGAGATTTAACATTGTGGTTCACTGCAATCTAGAGTATGAAAAAGGCTGCACGCTGGTATAAAATTCACTTGGTGTGCCTTTCTCAAAAGTTGATGAATGAACGTTTATACATTGTCTACAGCCTTGTGACTTCAGGCAAGGATTTCACCGGATCAGACATGATAAGCAGCTTTTGGAACTTGATCCGTAGTTCTCTGGGGCCCATCCCTGAAAGTCCAATATGCACCATTAACTGGTGATATTGAATCCAACAGTCTTTTCTATCAGAACTGCTGAAATTTCTCTTTTTGAGTGAATGTAGAAAACAGATGCCTTGATGATGATATATTTAACAAAATGAAGCTGTCATTACATTTGAGGGTGTAAAGATCAGTGATTGAGTTTTGGATTTGATAGTTACTTCTAGATCTGGTCATAAAAATATTTATCAAAGAAAAATAAAAATAAGAAAAAAAAAAGGAGGAAGGAGGAAAATGGGAGCTTTATTTTAAAGCTTTCCTATATTAAATGGAAAACCCTTCCTTCTTTCCCTGGGACAAAGCCATTATAAATTTGTTTTGGAAAGATCACTTTTTGTTTTCAGAGCATAGAAAAATGTCAAGAGCTTTTATTGAATATATTTCATCTCCATAAGCCTCTCCTGCATTGTTTTTAATTTTGAGCATGGTTCTTTAATTTTAAGCTGTTGCTGTGTTACATCTTGATACGTTTTCCTGAAAGTCAAGTTGTTGACTAAGACCTAGTTGTCAAGTTTTAAGTCGTTGACTGACAGCTTAGTCAAGCTGTTAACTAAGACCAATTTTTGTATAACAATAATCCCCCAGTCCTCAAAAAAAAAAAAATAAAATAAAATAAAACAGTTGCAAAAATATTTTCTGTACTAGTACTAGGACAACAGCAGATTTTTAAGTTTCTTTCAAAAGATAATTCACAGGATTCTTCAGTTAACAGGAGGAAACAACACCAAAAATATTGGTGCATGGAAACTTCAGCTGGTCAGTTTTGGCATTGCAGCCTTTTCATATTTTGCCTTTTTCTTATTCATTTTCTTCTGACAGTGGTCTAATTCATATTCCTTAGCACCTCAGCTAAATCTTGAGGGTGAGCCTTTCACTCAAAATAAGTGAGAAAGAGTAATGTCAAAATAAAGTTCTCCAAAATATCTTTGAGAATCTTAAAGATAAGAATCTTAAGCCTTCCATTCAAATTCTTTTCAACCAGGTATTTGTTGTGTCTTACGTGGAGAAAACGTGTACAGAATCAGACAGGGCATGTTTAATATATATTAAGTTGATGTCATCTGCTAGCAAAGTGCCTACTCTGTTGCAAAGTCTGATACTGAAATCATATGTGAATTGTAAAACTGGACTGAGAAAAAGAAAGTACTTTTTTTTTTTTTTAATAAGGAATAAGCTAGTATATTGCTTACTATCTCTTGAAAGTACGTGCAGATATATTCATTTACATTTTCAGGGATGGCATGGGTTGTTCTGTTTCTCATCAACAGTGAAATTAATGCCTTCAAACTTCAAGTACAAGGAGCATGTGTCAGAAATAAACATATCTGGCAGTTGTCATTAAAATTCTCTTCCCTTGTTTTCATCTCATTTCCACAGTGGAACAGTGAGAAGGTGATGCTGAATAAATCCATACCAGCAATAAATTGAGGCTTCAGTTGTGAGATTATTAATCTCAGTCACAATTCACTTTTTGATGTGGTATACTCATCATACCTTTGGAGATTAACTATGCATGGGACACCTTTTTGGAAGATAAACTCTGGCATAACTAAAACTTTGGATCTGCTATAGATCTGCCTACAGCCTTTGCTATGAAAATTATCGAAATGCTATAGTCCTTTCTCATCTAAGATTTATTAGTCATTAAAAGCAGTAGAGCTCTCTGGCTTCATGAATGGGCTGTGTAGTCTTAGTGTATCAAATCCTATGCAGCAGTTCCTAAAAATACAGTGAAAAGGTGCTGACCAACTCTTGTGAATAATGGACACTTACAGACTAGCCAAGATGTTTGTCTCTAATTTAGCTAATTGCCATCAGGCTTAATGAGTGAAGAGTGGGGAAAGGGCTGACTGTGGCATAAAAACTACTGGGTGGTTTTAAACTGAGAACTGACAAGTAAAAAAACACATGTAGGAAAAAATGTTGTAGTTGCAGACCAAGTCATACTTGGACATTTGCTTACACTTGAGGAACTGTATTCATGAGAAGAATCATGCTGGATCTCCTATTAATTATGTAAATAACGCTGAAATTTCATTCATCTCTTTTTGCTGGTGATCAGACTGATTGCCCCATTGCTGTCTTCACCTTTCACGCCTTCTTAGCAACAGAACCAGTCTGCAGTGCCCACCAGAGCCTGCATCCAAACTGGCTCTGTTTCTGCAGTTGGGCACAGATTCTGCAAATTCTTGGGTGAAAGAGAGAAACAGAAAAGAAAGAAAATTTCCCAGCTTCCTTCACCGGTGTTTGTGTGTGTGTCTCGCAGACAGTGCCTGTAACTATGTGAAGACTTTTAACCTTGCCCTGTCTAGCCCCATAGCTCTTGTAGGACGAGCAGATCCCTGACACAGGAAACCTTTTTGCATGTAACAGGTAAATGAGGTAACAAAATGTGATTTTCCTTATGTTTTTCCTTTTCTCCCTCAGTTTTGGGGGATTTTGTTTTTACCGATTTGATGTTCAGTTATGTCTCTGAGGTAGCTGGATAGAATCATTCCTCTGCAAATGTGGCCAGTGGACGAGAGTTTGGATACACCAATAGGCATCTAGCCTGTGAAAATCTTCTATTAGGGAAAATGTATACACATTACCCTACTGTGTATGTTTCACATGAATATTATTTTTTCCTTCTGCAAGGAATATTTCCTTCTTTCTGTGGCTTTGTTGATATATGATACATTTCCTCTTGTTCTTGAAAAAAAAAAAGAATAATTGCCATATAGCATAGAATACAGGTTGTATAAACTGCAGGGTGAAAGGGCATGATTCAGCAAACAGCTGGAAGTTTTATAAGGATTCCAAACTCTGTTGCCCCTCATTTTGGAGAAAATGCTGAAGAGGTTGTATTTGGCAATCATTCACTTCAGAGGGCCAATTTGCATAAACAAGGACTTTGCTATTACATTACTTCTACCTATCTGTCTCTTTGAACAGATTGGAGTCAGGGAGTCTTTTAAATAGCTGTTTTTTCTCACTATAAATACTGTGCTATGGTAAAAATCCACTGATGTTCTCTTCTAGACCTCTTAAAAAGGTTTTATGTATATGACTATAGGGAATTCCTTGGAATATAAAAGAATTCAGTGCAAATTAAACTTTTAATTTGGATGGTGTACATCTTGTGCAACCAAGAGGACTGGGTTTCAGAATAATATGGTATCCTATAGAAAAATGCATTAAAGCTAAAGGTAGAGCAATTACGGAAAATGATTATAAATAGAGAAAATAGTAGAGAGCATAAGTAAAAAGAAATAAGAAATATATGGTAGGCACAGAACTATATAAAAAACAGAGTAAAAGGACTGAGTTTTCATAATTGATTAGTCTCTAAAATGATTCTGCTCATGTATGTGGAAGATGATTACAACCAGAGAATATGTGTTATTCTAGCCAGTCCTTCACGTGTGCAGTAACTCCAGTCAGTATTTCCAGTAGCAAACTTCACTATATGTTGAACTGTTTCAAAGTTGAGTATGTCTGTATTGTTATATAATTGTCTTCATTATAGAATGAAGATGGATATAAAGTGCAATTCCTTTGGACTTTTTGCCATGCATTTGTGACTCAATAATCCTGAGTATTCTCTAGTTTAAAGGCCAAAGGTATCAAAGAAGGGAAATAAAGTTCCAGACCAGTGATATTTTGTTTGGAGACGTTTCCAGTAGGAAACTGGGATAGATAAATTCAGTGAATCATGCTGTCTGTAGCTCTGTAGCTGCTATTGGTCAGGATACTTGCTCCTATCCCAAATATTGAAAGCTAATGCAGGTGTCAGGCTTCCTGTTCCTGGGACTTTTTTTTTTTTTTTTTTTTTTTGTAATAAATACTACTACATGGCGAATAAATGGCTACTGAGTGCAGTGTCCTGACAAGCAGAGGGAGTATGTTGAGAACTGTGGCAAAAGGTGATAAATGTGTGTGTGTTCTTGTTCATGTAGAAACCTGGGAGATAGAGGGGAGGAGAGGGAGAATTTTGGATACCCTTCTGGGAGCCAAATCCTTCTGATCTTGGAATGATACAATGTGCTCTGACACTTCTTTCCTCAAATGTCCCTTACCTGAGAAATAAGAGTGCTTGTACCATCTCCATTCACTTGATGGAGGCTGCAGGGGCTAGGGATTTTAATTTACAATTACAGTCAGTCCCCAGCAACTCCAGAAATGCAGAGAGAGGGAAGGTGAATAAAAGCCAGTAATTGCAGAAAAAGAGTACTGCAGAGCTGATGCCAAAAGGAAATAACATAAATAAAGGTGCAATGTAAATGAGTGGACAGCCTGCTTTTGATGTAACTGTGTAGATACATCTTTCAGTGTCTGTGGAATGTTATGACCAATACTTGACCATGTCTGATTGTGGCTGATTTTATATATATTTTGTGAGTTGTTTATGTATAGTTGCAATAGTTGCAATAGCTTTACAGTCCTAAAATTTAACCAGTGCCTTTTCTCCATTCTACAGCAGCATTGCTATTTCCCTTGAAATAAGCAACTACTTAGTTGCATAATTACAAAATGCTTACATAATACAAATTCTTCCAGCACAAAAATTAACAGGCTTAAATGATGTATCTGAGGCACACGCTAACTTGCTGTAGTTTAAAAGGCTTACTTGGAAAATGCCTTAATTTGAAGGCACTGTAATGAAAGACTGCTAATGATACACCAGAAATGAGCTAAGGCTGGTTTCAGAAGCACAGATGGCTAATTGGCTTCAGTTGGTAGGTTATATCATTTTAATTAAATTTTATTAGGAAGCATTTTAAAGCCATAACTGATGGTTTAAGATAAACATGCTTCATCACAACTGACCTATTGCTAACCTTTATTTATTTCTCTCTCTCCTCTTAGCATTAATGGAGGCTGCTGTGACTGAGCTCTCCATGGCCATCTCTCGTCTCATCCATGTTTACAGCAGCAGCTTTGAAACAGATTTCCAGCTTGCCAGCATACCTAAAAACCCTTCATGTGCAGACATCAGTCTTGATTCCCAGCTCAGCTTTACGATTTATGCTGCCCATAACATACCAGAAGTGTGGGTGAACAGGTAGGAGGAGATCTAGCAAGTGTTCACAATAAGGGTGTTGTCTCATCTCTCACAGTCACGTATTTTTAACAGGTGCTAGCTTACCTCTATTGCTTTGGTGGTTCTCCTGTATTAACATTAGAAACTAAGTGGGTGCATCTCCACTACTCTTTTAGCATAAAAAGCACCAACATAAGTTGACTAAGTACGAGATTTCCAGGCCCCATTGATAGAAGGAGAATGGAAGAGGTGGCCTACATGGTTGTTCTTGACCAGTATGGAACGATGTTAACAGGCAAAGTCAGAATGTCGACCTCGATGGGTATCTGTACAAATGCTTGTGTGACTGGCATGCTCAGAGGGACAGAGGAGAGTATGTGTATCGCATGTCAAGAGAGTTTGGTTTGGGGTTTTGTGTGGCCTTTGCAGCACAAGTAACTGGAAGGGTTACCAAGTTAATCAGAGTGTGCTTGCTTAAACCCAATCTGAACGAGACTTTATGAGCAATTTTTGTTCATTGTGTATTCAAACCACATTACTCAGTAAGGCATGCGTATTGACAATCCTCTTTATAGATGTTGATTAAAATAAGTACAGTTTATGAGTCCAAGCATTAATGGTATATACACCTGTCAGAGGAAATCAAAAAGGGTCACAACTTCAGTAAAAGGCTGATTGAAATATTCTTTTCAGCTTTTTTTTTTTTTTTTTTTTTTTTCAAATTAGTTGTCATTTCAAATAACTGCTTTTTCTACTCTATGTAAAACTGACGTTCTCCTCTTACCACTCCAGTAGAATCAGAGGGGAGATCACTACAGTCTGGTTACATTATTTTTATGACTGAAAATGCTGTTCTCCAAGTTTTTATTAGTACTTTCCCCTTGCTCCCACTTTACCTTGAATTCCAAATGACTGATTAAAAAACTGGGATCATTTGCATTAGACTGTGAGCAAAAGAGTGTACTATACAGAATTAGCTGTAATTAGCAGTTTAATAAAAATCTGTGAGAATTTGCATTAGTTAACGCAATAAATGGAGAACAACAATCACTATCCTGATATTGCAGATGGTTATAACATTCCCCTTGCATTTTATGTTTTACCAGAAAAATGTGAAATTACATATGGCCTAAAACGCCACTGATGTCTTGAACACTATGTTCAAGCATATGAAAATGAGAATCTGTGTTCTTCCTTAATCTTCCTTTCCAGTCTTTCCAATATTCATACATAACATGAATTTCTTAACATAGACTGCAGTCCATGTCATCTACTTTCCTCAGATACTTTTTCTAACTTCATACCCACATTCCTCATGGTTATTTCTGTACTGTATAATTTCATGCTGACCATGTCACAGCACTTGTTTTTCCCTCTCCAGAAGGTCAGATTTTATGATCTTGCTGCTGATCATAACATTATTTTAGTATATTTATTTGTATAAATATAATATATACAATATAAATGTTAGAATTTAGACATCTCTGACTATCTGTCTCTCATTGTTTCTTCATACATTCAAGTATGTAATAAACAGCTTTTCCTCTAATTGTTTGGGATAAGGGAGGGGGACCTACCTTTGTTTTACAGAATCATTTTAGTGTCTCAACAAATTCCTCTCAAGCTCACTTTTGTGGGTTGGCACTTTATCAATTTCTATATTTATGCTCTCAATTTCTTTATTCCAGTCTTAATGTTCTTGAAAAAATAGGTACAGACCTTACCAGTTGCAGAATAATGTTGCAACCCTTTCTTTATGGTATTTTAATTCCTTCTTGTTTCTGTTATCAGTTTGTTCTTTTGTCTCATTTAGAACCTAAGCAGATGTTCCCTATTTGATGCCAATGGCATAATGTTGCTAGCATCAGCTTTGGCTGCATTTGTTTCTATAGCCCAAAATTCAAATACCTCTCTATTTCAGGATGATATAAAATGATCTTTGGGACAAGACTAGAGTGCCATGCCTTTGAACTGACAGGGAGGATACCTAGGCAAAACATTCTACAAATAATTAGAGAATATCTGAGTTGGAAGGGACCCACAACGATCATCGTGTCCAAGTTCTGGGTCACCAAAGGACCACACAAAACCAACCAAACAAAAAAAACAGGTCATGTGTCTGAGAGCATTGTCCAAACACTTCTTGAATTCCAGCAGGCTCAGTGCAGTGACTACTTCCCTGGGGAGCCTGTTCCAGCGCCCACCACCCTCTTGGTGAAGAAACTTTTCCTGATATCTGGCCTGAACCTCTCCTGTCACAGCTCCATGCTGTTTCCTTGCTCTCTGTCTCTGTCAGCAGAGAGCAGAGCTCAGTGCCTGCCCCTCCATTTCTCTCTTGAGGAAGTTCTAGACCACAGTGTGGCTTCTCCTCAGTCTCCTCAGTCTCCTCAGGCTGAACAAACCAAGTCCTCACCAAGTCCTCCAACCACTCCTGATATGTCTTCCCCTCCAGACCCTTTACTATCTTTGTTACCCTCCTTTGGACACTTAGACATTTATGTTGAAGCATGTGCACTCTGAACTTAAACATTGCATAAAGATTAATCTTTCCAGGATTAGGTCTTAGGGTATGTAAATCAGGGATATATCACTATATTGTGTATCAATAATTCTGTTTAAACAGCAGTGCTTAATAACTTTATGGTAAAACAATCTATTATTTTCTTCACTATACTCCAATTGTTTGTAGCCTTTGGACTCGCGAAGATAGATGCCATATTTAAGAGCAAAAGCTTTTCTTACTCTTGGTATTTTTTTCCTTTCTTTGCATAGATACCTCATAGGTACTACACATTAAAAAAAAATACATCTGCTACAATAATTCTAACAATTATTATAACATTCTTGAAGAGGTCAACAACAGTGCTTGTAAATAAGGCAAAGCCAGGAAGCTTTACTCTGCAAATGCTTCAGACTTGTGTGTTGGGTCTGTCTGAGCTGGATTCACCTTTTCCCTGCAGCAGCCCACACAGTGCTGTACTCTGCACTCGTAGCTGGAACAGCACTGATATCACTCCAGTGTTGTGTCTATTGCTGTGTAGTGCTGGCACAGCATCAGGACTCCTTCCAAGACCCCAAGAGCCAGCAGGCTGGGGGTGGGCAAGTGATGGGGAGGGGACATCGCAGGGGCAGCTGACCTAAACCAACCAAAGGGATATTCCATAACACTTGATGTCACACTCAGCAATAAAAGGGGGGGCTCTCATGGGGGAGGGGGCTGTTCCTCCTGAACAACCACTACGCGTTTGAGGCCCTGCTTCCTAGCACGTGGCCGAACACCGCTCGTTGATGGGAAGTAGAGAATAATTTTTTTCCTCTCTCTCTGTGCTTCCACGCGGACTGATTGTTTCTTTTGTTTCTGTTTTTCCTCCCCATTCCCTTTCCATTTAATTAAACCTTTCTCATCTCAAACCTCGAGTTCTCTGTGTTGTATTTTCTCCCCCTTCCTCTTTGAGGAGATGGGGAGTGAGAGAGCAGTTGTGGTGGAGCTCGGCTGCCCACCTGAGTAAAACCACCACAACTTGCTCTTCAGGTTTGACTCCATTTTCTTTCCCATGTTCATCGTCCTTATACAGCATGTGGTCTAAAGCTGAGTGTGACAATTTTTTTAGGATTTTAGGAGGATCTGGAAGTTACAAGACTAATTAACAACGTTAGTTGATTGCAAAATATTCCTCTCATTTTGAACAAAAATAAATAAATAAATATTTCAGTAAGAAGAATATGAAACCGAGAAGTAGTTGCAGACCTGAATTACACTGTGAAACCAGTCAGATAAGTATGTGACAAATACCAGCACAGATGTCTTTAATGCTTCTTCTGCAATAAATGTATAGATTCCCTTAATTATTACCCTGTTGTTTTGTTGTTTTGTGTTTTTTTTTTTTGTTTGTTTGTTTTGGTGGTTGTTGTTGTTATTACAGACTGAAAAAAGTAAGTGTAAATAGTTTGCTGACTGAACTTATATGATGACCAAGTTGAAACACTTCAAACCTTATGTCTAAACTGCAATAATGCAATTTATGCAACTGCATTGACTGCAATAGTGAGGAAAAAAAAAAGTTAATGCCAAAAATCTGGACCAGAATTTAAGGTGTCTTGAAGACTTTTCTTGAACTCTGAACATTAAAGTGTAGATTTTTAAAAATAAAACATTAAAATGAGATTCTTTATTTTTATTCTTTTGCTACATAAGAATGGGCACTCACAAGTTTATGAACAGATAGCCCTAATGAACAGTTAGCCTGTTATGAACTGTTTAGCAATGGTAAACCATGCTGGACATATTACATTGCAGTTAATCTTTTTTTCCCTTTCTCTTTGTAGTTACAAAGTTTTTTCTTTTTCCTGTTCACTGACCTACGCTGGGAAGACAATATGTCAAGTGAAGATTTGCAAACGTATACCAGTTAAAAGATCCTTCTTTTTCCTGGCAGAGTGGAATGAGAAGTAAGTTTTGGTCTGTGTTTGATGTATGCTTTTCTGAAGATTTTACCAACTGAATGTTAATTTAAAACAAAACAGAACAAAGGCCCACATTTTTATTACGTATCTTCTGTGCAAATTAAACCCCACAGAATTCAGAGAAATTTAGGGAGGTACGAGTGGGAAAGGAATGGGATAGGCAAAGGGAAGAGCAATAGCACTAAGCTAAGTCTGGTCTGAGAGTAAACTAAACTCAGCTGGTCTGAGAATAGCTTTTGTTCAGCACTGCTGGCTTTGGGAGAATGCTGAAACTGAAAGGAGGTACAAGAGCCTATATTTTGGTTCTCTTGTGAGGACTTTGCACTTTGGATACACCTCTAAATAGATACGCAATCCAGCTTGAGAACTTATTGTAACATTTCTTTAATTCTTTGTTTAGAAAGGACAATGGCTGTTGATTTTTATGTAAGCAGGCTGGTTTTAAATTGAGGACCTTTCGTTTAAGAGACTAGAATTTTAGAATAAAGGCTGCCAATTGCCTGCCATGTGCCTGTCTGCTTTGAGAAAAATAACTCAATTGAAAAGCAAGGCACAAACTTAAATAGCATTCAGTTTAGGCAATGGAAGGACAAAAGGCATATTTGCAATAGGTTGGAGAGAAGTAGGCTTTTTATTTATTTTTATTTTTTTTACATTTTGGTAACGTTCTCTGGATTTCTGAGCATGACATTTTTATATTTAGTCTTTCAAAATTTTTATATTTTATATTGCCATTGTATTCTAAATCTGAAAGTAGCTTGATTACATTGTAATTGAACAAAGAGTACAATTAATCTAAAAGGTGCTTTGTTACATTATAATTGAATATAAAATGTATAATCCATTTACTTTTTTTTTTTTGCCTTCCTCTAAAATATTAATCAGTTTTAAGCTGGTCTAATGGAGCAAGACAGTTTTACGTCAAACCCATTGCATTTCTATCTTAATAGTTTTTGTTGCCTTATTACACAACACTCCTGAACAGATGAGAAGCTTAGTATGAATGCCCTATTGTTAAGAAATAAAATGGGTGCATTTCTGCATACATCTATTTGCAGACATATTTGCATATATATATGTGTCTGGAAATATGTCTGCAAATAGTTCATTTGGGGCCTACTATCTTCTTTGATACCTCAGTTGAGTCCATAAAGTTTGTGTTGAACCCTTACCTTTTTTGTATGACTGGGAAGGAACTGCTATCTTTGTGTTGAAAAAGTTGGATTGTTCCCATTTGCTCTGTAGGAATTTTCACTTTTACCCATGTTTTAGTCAAGTTCTTTGTTTTGGTACATATGGACAGATATAATTCAAATATAGAGGAAGGACTGTATTGTTTATGAGTATTTTTGGCTTTTAAAACATGGCTGATTCCTTTCTGGAAAGCCTCTTACACACAACCTCCTTGTAAAGCAAAATACAAGGCAATAGAATAAAAATAAATTCTTCAGACATGACTGGAACTCTGCTCTTCTTCCATTTCTGTGAAAACATAAAGAAATCAGATGAAAGCTTCATTATTTCTGTTTAAACCTCTCCTTCTGCAAAATCCATACTAAATGTCTGCAATTCCAGCAAAGAGCTTAATGGAAAAACAGTTAACCATGCACACCAAATTCTTTCATAGGTACTTGTAAGAAGCTCTTAACACCAGAAACAAGATCTAGAATTGCATGAAACTTAGTAGTATTAGTTCACAAATGCACCTTTTTACTTTTTTTTTTGTTGCATGAGTTTTAAAAATCATTTTCAAAATCTGAATCAAATTTCAAAGTATAAAACCACAAATGTATATCTGTCTGGCAGGTTTTTCCATGTTTCCTTCCACCTTTCCACATAGAAATGGTTAGCCTAGATTTCTGTAAGCCTCAGATTGTAAGGGAAGGTTTCTTGGACTTAATGAGATCCAGAAGCACAAGCTGAGAATCTAGGCAGTCAGGTGTGACATGATTTTAGTATGTTTTAGCTTGTATCTGGAACTGGATTTGCAAACAGCTGCTATTTTTAGCCAAAATGCAAAGGTCAGATGGGGTGTTTTAAGCCAGCCGATAGTCTTACATCTTGAGTTTTCCCTCCTGGTCTTTGATCCACCAGAATATTGCTTGCTTGACAGGGCAGATTTTATTCAGAAACAGGTGCTTATAACACACATGTTCTTACTTTAAAACTCACACAACACTTAACAGCAAAATCAAATGTTTTTTTTAATAAAGAAAGGAGCTGACAGCTGTACTGAGTTGTGCTTAATACAGTGTGACTTTGGAACTGTATCCAAATATTAATCAGGATAGTAAGGTGAGAAGATCTTTTCTGTATGACAACAGGCACAGGAAAGGAAATGTTTGTGGTTTTGTTTTTAATTTATACTAAATGTGAAATAGTTATCCAGTTGTATAATGGAAAATTGTGTTTTTGCTATTGGTGCTGCTAACTCTCAAAACAAGAGAAACAACAAACAGCACCAAACTGGATAGAATACTGATTATAATTGAATTTTATATATAGCATATATAGCATATATAACATATATAAATCATTCAGATTATATATTCGGAATAATCTGAAACATACAGAGAGGAGGAACTGTAGAGGTGGTGCCATTTTAGCATTGAAGGTGTTATGTGCCTAACTAGCATAAATTAAAACATACTCAAGAACAGGCTGGTTTGTATGTCATACAATAAATATATGTATATAAACACTCATTAGCACTTTTTTGCAAGAATTTGAGCTGGAATGGATTAAGAATAGAATATTTTAATGAAGTAAGCATTGCTGCCATTGGTTTTTATACGCCATCAAGTGGCACCATTTGTTGTTGTAGGAAATCTGCATCACTAAAACTGTAACTGTGTTCACTATTGGTTATATTTTAGCTTTAAAGTCACTTTCTGAAACAGAAGGGAATACGTTCAGAAATTCACAGAGAAGATGATTTCCTTCTTATAAGATTCCTTGTCCTGAGTTGTTAAAGTGCTACTTTCATTCTAATGTATAAGCTATTTTCAGTTGATCACAGCCATTGAAAATGAATGTGGTAAAAGGTTACCAAGAAGAGCTTCCATTACGTTAGGAAGTCGCCTATTCACTGAACAGTTAGGCATCAATCAGGCCAAAAAATAAAACTAGCAAATTCAAAATGAGTCCTGATTAGGACTGAATAAACAAGGCAAAAGAAAATGGAGAGCAGTGTTTTGATAATTGGAATCTAGGAAGAGTGTTTCAATAAAAGATAAGGTTTGTTTTATTTGCTGATTTTCACGTATTTAGTTTGTGTTTTACACTGCTTTAAGCTATTACTGTCTGAACTTGGTAGTTGTTTCTTTTTTGTGTGTGTGTGTGTGTTTGAACATGACCTTTTGGTGATGTCTTTTATCATTTTTTGTCCTTCTTAGAACGTTCTCAGAAAAAGTAGGAATGATTTGATACTTAAGGAGGATGCCTCAATTTGTGTCTTTTGTCTTTGTTCTTTTTAGAAGTCTATTTTTTCTTTTAGAACGTGTGTGTTATCTTTGAAAAAATGGTATCACATTGGTGCAAAGTTTGAACAGTCTGCTACTATCTAGTTAATAATGTGAACAGTCCAAAATTGCCCCCTCTACTTTCTCATCAACTTCGTTTTTAAATGGCTTAGGTCTCTCAATTATTTTCTTACTTTTTTTCTTAACTGGCTCTTAATCTCCTCATTCCACCACCTCCTTTCTTTTTCCATCCTCAGTAATTTATGTTAAACCTACAGACATGAAATATGGAATTAACATTAAGCCTACCATTCATCACCTTCTTGGCTTTGGATTTCCTTTTTCCCCATATTTTGTTTGGCTTGTCTATCTTGTTTATACTTTCTCAGGGCAAAGACCAGAGTGCCCCAGAGCTCTTCAGTGTTGAGTGCTCTTACGATGTTAGGTTCTTAGCCTTTGAAACCAGCTGTATAACTTTATCTAACATCTGTAAACAGCACTTTCTCAGTGAGTAGCTTCTCTGTTCTTCTCTACTGCTGAAATTGTTCACTCATGCTTTTCCATTTCCTATTTCCTCTGAGTCATCTCTGTCTCAGCCTCATGCAGTCAGAAAGTATAATACTAACAGGGTAGACTTAGACATGTGTTTAAAAAAAAAAAAGTCTTAAATGGTACAAATACTCCCCTTCTTTGTATATCACATGTCACTGGAAGGGAAATTTTGCTAATCTTTGGCCCATGGTTTAAGCCTTGGGATTCCTAACTTTTGCTTTGTTTTTTCCATGTGCATACATGTATGTCTGGTAGTGCTATATATTGTGTCCTAGGGAGTCTCTGACAAGCATTTGCTTTCTGCAAGGAGAAGGATATTATCAGTTTTTTTAATTTCTCCGCATTCACAGGGAGTGCTAACAAATTTCTGTATTAGATGATGCATGTCTTGGCTTTTATTTGTTTCTCATCACAGAAAATACTAATGATGCTTTAAAGTTGTGTAACACTGTCAAAAGGTATTATGAAATATGGACAGAGCTTTTGGCCTCTAAATGAAAAAAGGCAGAACAAACCATCCATGACATGTAAAACAGTTTTCCGTAAGTTTTTTTTTCCAATTATGAGTGAGGAAGGGGGCATGAGACAGGAAGCAGAGTTGAAAGCTATAAATAGGGACATGTGGGAAGACAATTTAGAATCGCTTCTCGATTCTATTCATGTTAATTACAAAGAGTTGGAAATTGCTGTCTTGCTTTTTTTTTTTTTTTTTTTTTAATTCAGAGAGGTATGCAAATCTGAATAATTTCCGAAGTGTTTAGGATTGATCATATGAAATCCTGACACTCATGCAAATATAGCATGCTTGAGACTTTCAGCTGAAACCAAATATTTTTTTCAACTCTTCAGTGCTTTCAAGCAAACTTTTCTGAAGCCAGTAGAATTATGACAGATGTGGAGTGACAAGACTAGGAGAAAAATCTTATGTTAATTTTACATTATACTGTTACCTTGTCATATTTTTGCTACCCGTAATCCTTATGCTTTTCAGGCTTTGATACTTTTTAAATAACAATTTCTACATTTGTTTACTACATGACTATGCTTTTTTTTTAATGCTGAAAGCTGTATTGTTCTGGCCATTTAGATTGAATATGTGAAAATTAAATGGAGTCTGTATTATTTAAATTTATCTTCTTTTTTTAAATTCAATTTTATGCAGACCTTTTGTTTTCTTAATGCTTATGCTGTCAATGCAAAATAATTGTTTTAGCCTTTAGCCCCTTATATTGATTTTGTTTATACAAAAAAAAAAAAAGTTAATCTCATTTTCTCCTTGAGAAATTTAAGTTTTTACTGAATAAACATGGAAAAAAAAATGGAAAGGCTCCATCCACTATAGACATTCTCTTCAGGAAAAAGAAAATAGATTTACACATGATTTACACATGTCTGGATAGTAATATGATTTTTCCATATAGCATGAAAGTTTATCATTTCTTAGTCTTGCTCTAAGTTATGTTTTTAAGTCAATCATTTAATCTATATATACAAATTAAACGACCAATCAATTTTGCTTTAATATGAAGTTGAGATAAACACTCATATCTGATTTTTTTCATTAAAAAAAAAAAAAGAATCATTCATTCCTGTTAAAACAAAATCTGCTTTTAGATTATGCTTGAAAAATATCACTCCACTGAAGCACATGTGAACACAAGAATTATTATCATACCCTACCCAGAGCACAACTTCTAGTTTCTTAAGCTTTGTTTTCCTTTGAAGACACAAGCCAGCAAATAACTAATTATTGGTTTACAGTTCATCCTTAGGGGAGGTACTTATGCTGAATTAACCCTTCATCGATCGATAAGATAATTCTTAAGCAAGAATTTAACTAGGCTTTTCCTGCCTTTGTCAGCTCTAGTGGTTACCAGTGAAGTGAATGAATTATTCTTTGCCCCTTCTCAAGTACTATCACCCAAGTTAGTGTCTGGCAATACTTATAAACATGTAGCTGGTTTGTTGAAAGGATCTATCAGTTGCATTTTCCTTCAGAGTTGCAATCTCATAATTTATAGCTTAATATATGTCAATATATGTCAATATATAGAAAAACGGGAAAAGATGTCAATTGTGGTAACAGTGCTAAATTTTTTATTTTTCTTTTTTTTATTTTCATTTAGAATCAACTTTCCTCTGCGAATAAAGGCTCTTCCAAGGGAAACTATACTGATAATAAAACTACTCGGAGTGAACAGTGCTTCTAAAAACACAGAGGTGCTTGCTTGGACATGCTCCCCATTGTATCCAAAAGAGTAAGTTCGCTTTTGTAGGGTAGCTTGAGAAAAGACCATTTCTGAACAGGGTTACACTCAATTTGGGAAGAATACAGAAAGAAAAACACTAATTTCAGATTAGATTACAGTAAACTGATCCTGATGTGCCTATAAGAGCTCCACCTATAAGCTTTTCAATACCTTCTTTTTGAACTTGGCTTGCATAATGGTTAAACACAGTAAAATTCCTCAAGCCTGTTGAAAGGTTTTGCTGCACCCATGTTGCAGCTTTATAAATTCCTTCTCAGCACAGCTTCTTGTTCACAATCATGGTGGTTTTTGTTGTTGTTTTCTTTTGGTTTTGTTTTCAGTATGCTTTCCTTTCTTGCTGTCTTTCATTCTACTCAGTCAGACAGTTAGTGGTGACCACAATGATCAGCTTTCCGTCTACTGGCCACTTAAGTTTTCTCCTCTTTTTTAGTCTCTTTTTTTTCAAAACATAACACAGTATAACAGTGGTTTAAAGATATTTGTAGGCTTGATTGTCTCTGCAATGATGCATGAACGGAGATCTAAGGTAAACTTTCTACAGTACCTTTTATATATTTTAGTAACAGTGAGAAATCTGAGTTTAGATCAAGCTGTTATGATGATACTTAATTTTTATTTAAACACCTTAACATTGCATGCCACAGCATAAGATTCACAACAGCAGACATGCTGAATGCACAGATACCTGAGATGGGCAATAGACGAATATGCCCAAGCCCCACAAGTTTCTGCATAATAATCTGTATCTAAAATATAGCTCTTTCCTCATCTTGAGATATCTTCATCTACTTTTGCACATCATAGCAATCACCATTAAAAAAAAAAGAAAAAAAAAAAGAAAAAAAAACACCAAAGTGAAACTAATTGCATGTATGTGTTTACTTGGTATGAAAGACCTTAGATTCCTCTGAACTTCTAGGCTAAGAGGTTTAAAATGCTAGCCAATAGGTTGGACTGGGCTAGAGGCTTTTTCCATATTTTCAGGAGAAAATTCAAGATCGCTTGAATTTCTATTCAGAGAAAGAGAACATTCTTCTATGACTGAATGATGAGAGCTCTTAGCTTGAAGGAAGGAAAGAAATGTGAATCAAATCTCTGCTCTAACAACTGCTCAGGAGTTTTATTCAGTGACTTTTCATTAGGCTAGTCAGAAGAAGAGTACACCAATCACTCTTCCATTTTGTGTGTCTTATTAAAGAAAATATTCATTGTACTTAATGTATTTTTACCATTATGATGCTTAAGTTGAAACATGCAGAGGGAATATCTTTGCTGAAAATCTTGAAATTAATTGTTAACTTGTTCTCAGCCCCAGCAAGTTGATGTGTGCTTGGTACATGCAGAGGCAGAACATTACGCATGGGAACTTAACTGGGAAACAGTTAGGAAGGCATCTCTGGAGGTAAACAGGACACATGAGAATCCTATTCTACTAGAGCATCTCTTCTACTACAGCCTTTTTTTTTATTATTATATTTTTCAGCATTTAAGTTCTAAATCAAGGATTGTTGAAATATTTGTTAGTCCTCAACTCCCCGTATTATATATTTTGTAATGTATATCTTCAGGTCAAACATACTGATTTTTCTTAGGTAGATCTCCAAGTGACACAGATAATTTTAAAACTTCTACTGAAAAATGGCTCCATTATCTTAGTACACAAAATCAGCACAGTGAAGGGGATGCAGTGTTACTTTCCTTTCATCTGCTGTATAATTGTTCAGATCACTGCTGAAATGACCCTTTAAAGCAAAAATAAAAATTGAGTTGTTGGGTTGGAATAATTTAGGAATAGCATGTTCAACACCCCCTAATCAGTTAGCTGTGTCATTTACAATTATAGCAATTACTAACACAAAGAAACCTAAATGCCTTTTCCTCTTTTAGCCAAGTACAACTCCACAAAATTATTCATTTACCATGACTTGAATTGATAGACTGATTTAAAAATAAGGATAGCCCTGAAATTCCTTCTCAAATATGAAACCTGAAAATGTCTTAACATTCACCCAGCCTGCTTTTCATTTTCCTTGGAAGGTCATAAATATTTTTGGATAGAGTAAAGTAGCTCTCAAAGTTAGCTACATAGAGAGCAGCAGGACTAAAACTGTGAGGTGATTCTTTATAGATAATGCTATCAATGAACAATTAACCAGACTTTGCTCCCCCGGAGCCTGGAATGAAACTAAACTTCAAGACTTTTCAGCAAAGTACTTCTGAACTTTAGGTACTAAGAAAAGGTCTTTACCTGTAGTGTTATGCTAATGTATCAACAGAACCTTGTATTACTGCAAAGATTACAGTATTATAGTCTCTAAATGAACAAACGATGTAAATGTATATAAAAAGATTAAATAAATCTGACCAGGAGATGTCTAACAAAACATTGCTGACTTGGAAAATACCTCTTTCTCAAATGAATGCTTTTCTTAGAGGTGAATTTATGTTTTTGAAAGAGTTGTAACAGATCCTCAAGTCTAGAATTTAATTTACAAGGAAAGGACAGAAATAGGCTCTTTGAAGTAGCCAGTAGCCCCGAGGTATTTGCCTGGGTCATCGAACATCCTTGTTCCAGTTGGTCACCAAGCCATTCTTCTTAGGCTCAGGAAAGATAAGGACAGAGAGCTGCTTTTAAAAGCATTCAGATGCTTTTAAAATACCTTTCTTTCCTTCTTTCTTTCCTTGATACCTATTTTCTCTCAAAAATGGCTATTTTCATCGTATAGTGTATTCACCCATTCATATTTTAATTCTTTATATTTAGTCTGAACTGAACATTAAGAAAAACTGAACTTATTTTAGCTATTAATGTATGCAAGTTCCCTTCATCTCTGGCTAGAAGCAGAGAAAGCTTCTGATGTTTTGGGGCAGGACCAGCTCTTTTCCAACCCAAGCAGTTCCATGTCAAAGTCCCTTTACAGATCAATGTATAAGAAGGATATACTAGCTGATGGATAGAGAGTGGCCACTATCTCATTTGTTAAATATGTGTTGGTATTTCTTCTAATCAGCCTTGCATGTTTCTGCAGATTTCTCTGAAATTCTTTACAAAACTGAGATTCTGCAAATTTTCTCTAGTCTTTTCCTATGTGTAGTTGTTTACATTAAAATTATTGCTTATAAACTTTTTTTTGTATGTTTGGTTTTAGGGCACAAAATCAGTAAGAATTAAGAGCATGGCCTCAAATTTGTTTTAATCTGGAGTAATCTGATAAATTTCAAGTTGCAATATTCTGTGTCTTCAGACTTATGGGAGTTAATCAAGCTAGAAAATCTGTGGCGTGAAGATCTGTTCCTTGTAAATGTCTGTAAGACATATAACATTTCTTTGCAGATGAAAATTATTTATCTAATGTGAATTTTCTAGAATGTTTTAGTACATGTAATTAGAATTGTTATTTCATGATATCATTCCAGTGCAGAATTAACACTTCTTAGGCCATAAAATATGCTTCTTTATAGCATAGCAGCTTTGGATTTCCTTTAAATTTACCCCTGAATTTCTAAGGTTTATTATGTCAGGTTTGGGGATAATTGAATTATTTTTGTATCATATTTTGCCATCTTTTTTTCCTGGTATATCTTGTCTAAACAGTCACACCCCTCTCATGTTACATACGTTTGTGAATGAACACAGTAACGATGATGGCTTCTGACTTGTCCAGTTGGTGAGCCTCCGTATTCACATTTCTTATTTTATCAAATGTTCATAAATCAATAAGGCCCTTGATGATGTTCCTGTATCAAGAAATCTTAGTTTCAAGAGTCAGTTCAAAAGTGTTTGCAAACCGAAGTGTCAATTTTCCATTCCTTCATGTCAGAAAAATGTGTTTGTCTCTTGGGCTGAATAGTTTAGCAGTCTAGAGCTAATTAACAAATCAGGAATCCATCATATGGGGCAATTTGGGAGCTGTAATGTCTCCCACAGTGCCCATTGCTCTGAGTTCATTGATTCTAACAACATGATTTATTTTGCATTGGTATTTCCAAATCAGAACAGGCAATAAAATTTTCCTCTTTCTTGGTGTGGTGAATGAGGTGTCCCATATGAATTTAGGATATTAGGTTGAATTTATAAGACAGAGTGCCTTGTGTTGTCATTCCATTGCAGTGTCCTCTTCTTCTGTGGCAGTTTATTTTAGTTCCTGTTGGAAACAACAGCTGGAAATCTGTAATTCCAGGTTTCCAGGTGTTTCTACCTGCCCTGGTTTTGTGTGAGAATATAAATAAATAAATGGCAGCAGACACAAGGCAGCACTTGCTTATTCACCTTCTTATGGGCCTTATGCTGAAGAGAATTTTTCCAGTTGCTACATGGAAGCCATCACCTATAACTGTGATCACTTTACAAAGATCAGCATTACTGTCCTCACTTTATAGATGAGAAAACTATTAGAAAAAACGGGGAGTGACCTACCTGAGTTCATCAGTCCAAGACAGCAGAGAGAGGAGTCTGTTCAGAAAAGATTATGGCTATAATGCTCATGATGCTGGCTCCTTCCTTTTCTGAATGGATCCTGCACACTCTGCTGCCTCTTTTCCTTTTCCTAAATATAATGTAACTTTCGTTCACCCACGAGGCTGTTTGTTATCATTCTGTTTTTGTGTTCAAAAGAAGAGTATTGTCTGTGTAGTGCATGTAGTTCCACAAAGTTTGCTAGGGAAAGCTGCACCTGAAAATATATCATATTTCAGTAGTCACTGTCTCTTCACACACTTTTAAAATACTGCCTGTGTTTATTGACTCACCTTGGTCTAAACAGTGATTTACAGCTTGAGTTACTCACTTATTTGTAGATATAAATTAGGGTATTTTGTATACAGGTATAAATATATTTCTTAAAAACTAGTTCATTTTTTTTCTTAGGAGATAGTATCTCCATACTGTTTCAGTGGTCTTTGGATTTACTCATAGTCCTCTCATCTGCTTTAACATATGAGCATTCTTAGTCTTTCTGCTTCTGAAATTCTGAGCATTCTAGGTCCTTCAGCTTCTGAAAGCATTCTGCTTTCTTTGGTGCTTCTCTGAGATTGGAGAAGTCCACCTACCAATTGTTCTTTACTTTCCAGGACAGTCTTTAGCCACAACTGTACTCGGTACAAATGAGCTGTAATAATGAGTTAAGAAAATGTCTCAATTAAACACACATACAGTGCCTCTGAGGTCTGTGGTACTTCTTGTATTTGCCTATACAGATTTTCAGGTTACCCAGGAAAAAAAAATCTACCATCTATATTCTTCTTTAAAGCCCTCTATGGTTTTAGAGGATGATGTAAAAGTGATTAGCCGTAAAGAGAACTCAAAAGGATAATTTAGTCTTCAAGTTCATTCAGTTCTCAGCTATTCCTCTCCTTGGTAACTTAAGGGGTAATTAGTTCAAATTATCATGTAAACTTCTGTCCACAAGGGAATGGTTGAAGAGATGTGACTCCATCCACAAGGCGATGCACAAAGAGATGTGACTCCAGTTAAGCATCACAGGAAAACAGCTTTGAACCACGACTCATCACTTCCACATTCACATCAGCTGAATGTGAAAAACTTCATATCACAAACTCTTTTTCCCCAAGTAGCATCTTCTTCACATCACAGTTTCTTTTTCTGCCTCCCTTCCCCTGCAAATATGCCTGCCTACAGCTGCAAAAGAAACTAGAAAATAGCTTTGTCTTTAATCCTCTCGAGCTGTATTTCACAATAAAATAAAATGTTTGCACTTATGACATCAATAGGTTCAGAAGTGAAAAACAAAAATTAGCCCTAAGTTACGTTTGCACCAAGTGTTGAATCACAAAAATGATTTTGCAGGAGTCCCCTGTTTCTTCTTCAGATGACTTTGCAGCAATTTATTTTCGTATGCAATTCAAAAATGTACTCTTTTCCAGCAGTGATGCAAACTCATCAGAAAGTCCATCTGAGTTATCTTTTTCCTCTAACATCCTCATCTCTGGTAAAAAGCTGTTTGCTCAAAACTTGTCTACCTGGCTGTGTTTCTGTTAGAGTTGGCAGAAGACAGTCTAGCCCATTCTATCACAGTTTCATTGACTGAGCAGTGCTTGGAATAATAGTAATAAAATTTTCCAGTGAAAGAAGAGATGTTCAGCATATCAAAATTCTGAATTTATCCTAACTAACCATTAAGATATAGACAAATTAGAGGGTAAGTCTGGTGTACTATATAATATGGTATCCAGGTACTACATTCTTAATTTGAGCAGATTAGTCATAATTAGAATTGATACCAGAACTTTCTGATTTTATTCAGGTTTTCTGGAATGAATTGTGTTGACCTGCCAAATCATGCTGTTTTTCTTACTTAAAGACTACATGCATGCCTGTTTCTGACACAGCTTTATCGTGCGTGTAGTGCTCAGATAGGTACTTCAGACCATAATCTTTCATCTATCCAAAAAACAAATGTGCATGTGGTACAAACCATCCCATTCAAATTCCTTCCAGATCATTGAATGCTGAAGCTGTACTACTTCCTGGCCATTTACACATTTTGACTGATAAAATTAGCACGATTCATTCTGGTCGCAGTAGATTGTCATGAGTTTCTTCTTTCTGTGAATTAAATGTATGCTGCTCTCCACTCCCTCCACCTTATATAGTATGTTGACACTTCACAGTCTCTACCATATTCCCAAAATGAAATACTGAGATAGGAATATGATGTTATCCTCATTTTATACCTAGCTTCAATGACAACCCCTGTCACACAGGAAGTCAATGGTAAAGTACAGAGCTGATCTGGAATTTCTCATCAGCTTGATTTGTGCCACAATCCCTGCAACTAAATACATAGCATTATGGCAGACAGGCCACCAGTGTACAATCGTTACTGATCTTGACCAGATTTGTACTAACCACATAAAGATGAAAGGTTTGTTATCCTTTCACTTGTCGTTTAAGCTGTCCATTTCTGTATTTTTAGATGTGATTTCAATAAACCCAGTCACCTCCAGTACTGAGGCAGTATTTCTGTCTGTGTCCATTGCAGGCGGCTCATCCATGGAACTGTGCTTCTTAGCATGAAGTTGGACAGCATACTTCCAGCATCAATGATTACCCCAGGCATCTGCAGTACTGATATACCAACTTCAGTAACGTTGCAGGTAAGAAAATGAAAAAGCTAAGAAAAGTGCATTTCCAACATACTGAAAAAAAAAAAAAACACACAAATTAGAAATCCTATTTCTACTATAGCTACTCAGAGAGGGCATGTTAATCTTAGAGGATGAAAAGTATAATGCTGCACAGTGGCAAATATGTATGATAATTTGTATATAGAATGACACCTCTGAGAGCTACGGAAGATTTTCATGCAGTAATTTTTTATTAATATAATTTTGGTTCCAAAAATACTTTTGACAAAAATTGCTGACTAGTTACATGACTTGCAGATGGCTTTTCAAATCTGAACTTTAGTTCTGGGTACTGCTGAACTGTGTGCAATTATAAGTGTAAAATACAGCTTGCAATTAGCATGAAGGAGCTGTAAAGGAAGCATCTACAAGCAGATTGTCAACAAATGGCAGTAGAGCTCTCCCTCCATAACTACATGTTGAGAACCCACAAACTCTGGCAGAATGGTGCTCCCAGTATTGAAAATGCATTAGGTCTGCCTGGTAGTTTTGTCACCTTTCCAAGTTAAATTAGCAAGTGGATACTTTGAGGGCAAAGCCAATTGCTTTCTGTATTAAAAAGTTGAAATGACTATTAGCAAATGACATGTAAAAGAACAGATAATACAGATAAATTAATCTGGTCTAAGAATACCCTATTTTTAATAGACAAGCAAATAGGGATTTTCTAGTCTGAGGAGTTTGAGCCAAGAAGATGACTTAGAACAGCTCTCTCTCTCTTAATAATAAAGGAAGCCCAGACAGTAAATGGCTACTCTGTTATAATCTTTCTCTGCTGGAAGGAACAGGAAAGGAGAGTCTCTCATTTCCCCATGCTCTTCTAAGTTATTGCCATATAAGTGACAGTATCGTGATTTGTGAACATACTGGAAATACTGCCATAAAGATTGCTTTTCTGATGTGGCCAACATGATGCTTACATTTTGTAGGGAATAACTTTGTTAGCCTTTAGAAGAGTGATGCATATCTATTTTATATGCATATAGAAAATGTATAGATAAGAGATTACGATGTGAGCAAACCAAAATAGGATGTGCAAATTGAACTGGATTTTACGGAACAGCCTACATTTTCAGATTACCGTGACCTCAAGATTCATAATTTTGGTGGAATGTTTTCTTTCTCTGTATCTTAAAAACATTTTCCTAAATTTCAGATGCCCATGTGAAAGTGCAAAGAATGAAATAATGGTAGATACTATACAACGTATATGAAATTAAGCATCAGGAACTAATATCAGGAATCTGATTCCCATCTTTTAAGCTCTTAAACTGCATATCAGAATTATTCCTGTTTTTTTTTTTTTTTGAAAAAAAATATCTAATGGATGCTTTTCATTTAAGACCTATCTCATGAAAAACTAGGAAAGGGAGGAAGGAAGGAAAAAACAACTTCAGCCTTGAGTACATGCAGTTCTAATAAATACAGTGGATTAAATTCTCTCAAGAATGTCTGAGACAAAGCTCCCACTGATTTTTGTGGGCTGGGTATATCACCAACTTCTCTAAGTAGAGTATTACTTGCAGTGAACATCCTCAGAGAGTTACCTCCTCTTCTCTCATATTTTGTGTGCTTCCTGTACAAATCCAGGATGACATTTATTAACAGATGTATCTGAGACTACATATTGCTAAGAGGACTTCTATCTTTTTTGTCTTTTTTATTATTTTTTTTAATAAAGATTGACTTTCCAGAAACTAATTTGGAGTTCATTAAACCTGAACCTGAAGAGAAAAAAGATCTTGAAGAGCCAACCAAGGAGTGCCTGAAGCATATTGCAAGACTTTCACAGGCACAGTCTCTCTTGCTGTAAGTTGTACCCAACTAGTTCTGCTGAATCTTCGCTTGAAGTACTTATTCTATTGATCACAATTAAATGAGTCCACTTCTTTAAAAACTCTTTTTTTTTTTTCTCTGAAGGAGCATAGGGTGATTGATTTGAGAAGTAGCACCTCTAAATGAGAGAATAGATGACAGCAAAGCCTAAATAAACCCCTGGAAGTGGCAGTGTACTTTACTGTTTTAGAAAAGGGTTGTTTTTACCTCTCTATCATTATATCTTTTCATGTCTTTGAGGGGAGAATCCAATTTTTGATTCAGAAGATTTTCAAGTGATGTGATAAGTCTATAACAGTATTAGAATGAAAACCTTTAGATAGATGAAAATCAGTATTCTCTATCGACAACTTGCTCAGACTAATAAGATATAGTAATAGCATATAATCATTAAAACAACACTTACTAGTTTTGTTTTTTTTAAAACAAGGAAAGAAGTATGCAAAGTTTAGCTTTAAACAGAAGACAAATAAAAACAAAATGAAATCAAATGCTCTGTGTATATTGAAGAAGATAAGTATGCTCAGGTTACATAAGCAATTAGGATGTTGTACTATATAAAATAATTTTAGATATAATCCAAGTGGCATTAAGAACATAAATAGTTATGGAAAGTCATTATACCAGTCACAGTTAATTATGTAAATTAATCTTTCATCAAAGTTCAAAAGATACATTAGTTTTACAATAACTAAATAACTTAAAGCCAGTCTAGCTCTCTGTGTGATATATCTGTTAAGAAGACTTTTCTATGTTGATTTCCTTTTTTTTAATTAAAAAAAAAAAGTGTATTTAATGTTTGCTTCATCTTTTTAAAAAGACAGAATATAATGTAAAGTTATTTTTATTACTTTTCGGGTCTGTGGTCTGGTTATTATTTTATTACTAATATGAATGGGAGGACTGTATTTTATCATAAATGGCCACTGTGCTAAGGCACTTGCAAGTTGTCTGCATGATTCCCACCTGCAAAAGGTACTCTATAAATGATTTGGGGTACTTCAAGTAAATGCATCTGACCTCTGTTTGTAGTAAAATGGTGGCTTCTGTGAGAAGAAGTAAGATCATTAAGCATTTAGCTAAGCATGGAGAAATCTGTCAGCAAAGAGCCAATGAGGCTTCTGTAAACAGAAACCTGCCTCACCAACCTATTGCTGCTATTCTAGAAGGTTGTCAGAGGGTTCATGGATTTGGGGGATTTGATGAACATAAAGTATTTCGATGTTCAAAACACTTTAGTGAGGTTCCATATCAGATTGTTAAAGAAAGTGTTCATGGGTATAGAGTAAAACTGGTTAAAGACCAGTTTGGACATTTAATGGCTTTTCATAATAGAGTAATCAGCAGTAGAGTCCTTCTGTACTCAAGGTTGGGACCAATTTTATTCAATATCTCCACTGATGATGTGGAGAAGGAAGTGTATGGTGAAATCTCCAACTCTGCAGATGGTACTAAGCTCTGCCAGATAGAAGCTGTGTCATGGAGGAGACATCCAAAAGGACCTTACAAAAATAAGGAGGCAAAAATATGGCAAGTGAGTTTCAGTGTGGGTAAATTTAAAAGGATATATTTAAGGAAAAATTATCTAGGAAATCTGTACATGACACTGAATTCAAAACCTGCATCTACATCACAGAAAATACATCTTTGAATTACTGCTGCTATTTCCCTGAACTCATGAGTACAATGTGCAGCAACCGAAAACGCTAACAAATACTAAGTGTCATCAAGAAGGGTGTAGAGGAGAAGCCAATGTATGTCATTTCACTGCTGTCTAAAACCTTGAAAGGCAGTGTTTTGAGTATGCTGTGTAGTTCTTGCATCTACAACTCAGGAAGGACACAGGAGAACTGGAAAAGGTAGAGAAGGGTAACATGTTTGAAGGGATGAAGTAGTAGCCTAATCAGGAGAAGCTAAAAGCTAAAAAATCTGAGACTTCTTATGTAGAGAGGAGAAGGCTGAGAGAGTGGTGTGTTTAATATTTCCAAAATCATGATGATGGTGGACAAGGAAGAAAAAAAAAAAAAAGGAAAGAAATAAAGGTACAATATTCAAGCTAGGGATATCCCATGGCAGAAGTAGATCTATTGTCAATAAATGGAAGAACACTTCAAGCAGTCAGTGGTGAACCTCTAAAATCTACTGGCACAATGCTGGGGAGGTAGACAATGTCATCAGATTCATAAAGGCTGTCCACAGATTCATGGACAGGCTCATAAGGAGATATTACAAAGATGAAGCAAGGGTAGAGACTATAACATCCCTAACACAACAATTTTGGATTCTCTGGGAATATGAAGGGAAGAAACCCCCAAAAGTGGCCAGGCTGGCATGCCCTGCCTAAATTGCCTCTCAGGTTGCCACTGTCAGAGGCAGAACACTGGGTGAGAGATAGACCAGTGATCTGGTCCGTGATGATGTTTCTCAGGTTTTAAAGGAAACCATGACATTTTGAAATATATATATATATATATGTATATATATATATATATTGTCTCCTGGCCTTATTGTATTTATATAACCATCTATAGCTTACTTCACTCATATTCTTTCCTAGGAGTTGCTGTTACAGAGAGTTACACTGTAACATACAGTAAGCTTTATTATTCATTAAATTATTTAGAAGTTCATTAGAGGTGGTAACACTTACAGGAGGCATGAATGCTTCTTTTTTCCGTCTGGGAAGTTTGCAGAAGACAGATTCAAGTTGCTGCTGCTAAGATTTCAATAAGTTCAATAACATTCTTGGAGGAAAAAGAATGGTAGTCCTGGCTTTTCCCACAGCTTGTTTTCAGTTATCCCCTCTTGTGGTCAAGATGGTCTACCAAATGTATCATCAGGGTGAAGGGTGGCATACTTGGGGGTTTGAATAAAGAAGGTCTATGTTTATTAAGCGATTTCTGGTCCAGAGGAATCTGACAGCCTACAATTTTCTGTTGTACCAATATCAGAAGCATTCTTTTTACCTTCCTTAGTCAAGATAGTTTTATTGAAGTTTTTAAAAATATATTTGTATCCAACCACATTATTACCATGAAATCTCAGGTTCTCTTCCTTCCTTCATGTGTCAAGAAAAAAGGAGAAATCTAGGTAACATTTCAGTAACAACGCATTTGATGATGTTTCAGGCCTGTAAGTCTCAGATATTAATTTAAAATAAAAAGGTGTCTGTGGATGGAAGACACAAGAAACCTCTCACAGGCTGTACTTCTAGTCATTCTACTGAAAGCAGAGGGAATAAGTGAATGGACAGAAAAATTTCTAAACCATGTGGTAGAGAAAGGAGAAAATGGCTAAAACCAGACAACTGCATGGCTGTCCTTGTTACAGGCTGTCAAATCCAATAGCACTGTGGATGCAACGTGGCCAGGGCTTGGTGTCCACAGGCTCAGCCATTAGAGAGATGGAGTGCTTTTTCCTGGTAGGCACACGCAGTACAAACATCTGACCACACAAATCAGATCAGACACAAGGCGGTGCCTTCCCAGCACATACACAAAGACACAGAACTCTCACAAAAGTGGACAGCACAGAGAGTGTGATTCTGTTCTTCCACTCTGCATGATCAGGATCAAAGTCTGCCAGTAGAATATATCCATGAACATACATATTTATATCTAAATCTTCAGCATTAAAATATCAATTGCTCCAGAAGTTGAGCTCATTTTATTTAGTAGTTGGCTCCAGATCTTCCCTCTTTCCCCAGCTGTTGATGACCAGACATAAAAGCCCTCAAGTTCACAGCCATATTCTGGTTGATGGTGTTTGGACCGCTTCCTATTACACACACACGGGTCTCCCCAGTTGCTGTTTGAGGCATATGGTCTTCACAGCAGCTGACTCTCAAACCCTTGTCTCTCTGGTAGTTAGCTCTCAGAATGCTGGACCCTACGGCCAGCATCTTTTGGATGTTGATTAGTGATGGGTCACTTGAGGGTGTCAGTGGAAACGAAGGAAGTGAACCTCAACATATGGCTCTTGTGCTGCTCATGGCCCTAAATTATGTGATCTTTGGTGTCACCACCAAACCACATGAGGGGCAGGGGGATGGACTAAGAGCGTTAATTAGTCACTGCCAGCCGCTTTGGCTGAATTCTGAAAACAATTGAGATGTGAGCCTTTGATTTCTTTTAGGATTACTGTGGTGGAAACACAACCCCCCAGAAAACTAGCCATCTGGGACAATGGCTGCACTTCGAATGTGGTACAACCTGCTTGTGCACAGTGGCTCCCAGTGGAAGGATCAGACTGGTCTGAAACCAGGAAGATGACAGTCTTATTTCTGCCATCTTTCTTTCCTTCATTCATAATTTTCCTTATACTTTTTCTACTGTTTCAGCTTCCCTTTTTCTTTTCTTTTTTGCCAATTGTCTAATAAGACTCTACTTTGCCTACCAGTCATAACAAGACTGTGAATTTTGATTAAAATAGCTACTTAGAGCCTGGTAGATAGTACAGGTCTAAAAAAAAAAAAGGCAGTAATACTGCACACTTCACTAGTCTGCCCACAGAAGAGAAAGTGCAAAATGGAACTGGGGGACAGAAATTTGAATTTTCTAACGTTGTTTTGCTTTTCTGACTCTTTTTGCTATTTTGTCTTGTTCTTTTCTAGGACTGCACATGAATGTTCAGAGCACTCAGAAGCATTTAAACTATTTCTTACCATTTCTCCACAAAATAAGTGATAATTAACACCAGCTAACAAATCTTCCACAGAAGCTTTTCCTTCATTTAAAAGGATTAAGAAAAATTATCAAAAAAAAAAAGAAAACTACTGAATTATTTAGGTTTTAAGTAAGATGTTAAAAGAAAAAGCTCAATGAACTGCATTTTTATCAGTGAATAGGGTTTATTATATCTTAACCCATTTTAGACAAAAAAACAGCCTTAGTAGCATAACAATCTGCAGATGTTATATGTACACAGAATAATTTTACCACATATCTTAAATGTCGCATCACATGTATGTGTGAACTTTTAGTACAACTAAGAAAATGAAATGAAAATCTCAAAATTAAAATAAATAAATAAATAAATAAAAACACCCTAACCTTTAGTTTCATCTTGAATCTTTAAAATATGTTAATCTAATCTTTAAAAGATGTTAATCTAATTTCTTATAGAAACATGGCAAGACAAAATGGCATTGCCTCTAAAGCAAAGTCAAAGGGAGAAATGTAATATTTAGAAAACCTAATACAACAATTGATTTCTTATCTCCCTTTGTAAATTCAGTGGAGGCTTTAGCTGCTTTAATCTGAACAACAGATTGTCTAGTTTGGAGGATGCTGTTTGAAAGCTTCAGTCTCTGCTTAAAGTCAGCATATAAAAGGGGTCCTTTAGCAAAACCGTCCTGCAGAAAACCATCTGAATGCAAAAGAAAACAAGATGGCAATAAAGTCTTAGGCCTACTTTTATCTCTTTTTCTGTATGACTTCTTCACAGAGAGAAACATCTATCTGTTGTCAAAATAGATATGCTGTGAATTCTGATGCAGTTTCTTAAAATGACTGCTAAAACGATACTTTTCTCGAAATGATCACTAAAAGACATGACAGAATTTTTATCATAGGGGTATGTTCTTCTTTTTCTTCATACATTTATTTCTCCTAAAGGAAAGGAATAAACATTCCTGTGGCATTAAAAAAAAAACCAAACAACACCTCTGTTCTATCACTCTCTGTTTCAAATATATGGCAATTTAAAACTGTAAAAAAAGAAAAGTTGCTTGGTGAAAATAGAACCACAAAGGAGCTCATTGCTCTAAGCTGTGAAAGCTGCAGTCTTGAGAATTTGAGAAGGACAGTGATACTTATTTTGTCTAAGAATGCCCCCAAATCATTGCAAATAGGAGGAGGAAGATATTGACAGGTATGGAAATGCTTGGATTTTGAAGCCAGTTTATACACATTCAAATAATATAATACTTGACTGGAAATAAACTATTTGCTTACTACCTTCTACAAAGTTTCTTACAACTTGCTCTGAAATATCCAGATCAGCTTAAGGTCATGTTTAAGTTATCTTACTGAGTAGATGATCACCATTCATATCAACTATGACCAAGAATACTGATGTTTGTCTTGGCTTCGGTAATGATTTCTGTCAACTGGAGACCATTTTGCACTTTCAGAGCTTTGCTCTGATATCAAATTTAGGACATTGTCTGGGCTTGTTTCTCATGGGGGATTTATTCTTCTATTTTTTGATGATACTAAGACCTAGGATTTATTATTTTGAATCAGATATTATGGTGAAATATTGTGTGTTATCTGGCTGTTTTATCATTGTTATTCATCCATCTCATATCTCTGTGTGGAATTCTGTATTGCATCCTTTTTTCATAAGTACAGAGAAACAGCATGCTAGGCCTTGCAAACAGAAGCCATTGGGAGCTTTCCTACCATTCTGCAAGCTCATGCTAAAATTAGGTGTGATCACACTGCGTGTGTGTGAATGCATGTGCTGTCATGTTCCTGGGTACGTGCATGGATGTACCTAAGCCCCATTTTTATTGCAAATATGCTAGAAATAGACAAGTCTGTGTTAGTCAAAGGAAGACCAAGGAAGAGCAAGAATGAAAGCTATGACTAGGAGTGCTGTATGTGTAGTTGTTACACTACTTAATTAGAGATGATGTGTAGCAGATGGAGGTAACAATAATTTACCCAGTGAAAACTGCACCTTTGTCAGAAAATCTCAGTTAAAATGAACAAACACCAACAACAGAGTGGAGAAGAAAAATGAGAGTGCTTGGAAAGTGAAATATCCATACATGTGTGTCTTTTGACACTTCATTTTTATATGACCCAAGGCTGACAGATCCAGAGTATAAGTATCACTTTTCTTATAAAAGCTGGTCTGCAGAAAATGATATCCTACCCCAAGGAAAACATGTACTTAGCCGAAAAGCAGTATTCTGTATGACTTGGTCCCCCAATACAATAAAGTTTGTTGCTACACAAAGCTCCAGGTGGTTTTAATTTCAAACCAAATTTCTAATCTTCTCTTCCAGACTCTCAGAGCAACAGAGAAGAATCTTATGGTTTTATCGTTACTACTGCAATAATCAAAATTGCTCCCTTCCTCTGGTACTGGGCAGTGCACCCAGTTGGGATCGAACAACTGTATCAGAAATGTATTCTGTCATGAGGAGATGGAGATTTTCTAACCCTCTAGAGGCATTCGGGCTCCTGACTTTCAGGTAAGGGAAAATTAACAAAGTAGGAAAATAACGATAAGCAGAATGATCACATGCTGCTGATTAATTCAGCACTTCAGTTTGCTCAGCATAGGATCATGCTTTCTTTCAGTGATTGTGCTTTTGGTTCTGTCCCTGTGTCAAACTGAAGACGTAATTGCAACTCCTGTGATAACCTTAAATTGAACATGCTGGCCCTGCCTTCTTGGCTGAGAAGATATCCTATTTTTCAGGATAATAAAAAGAGTATTTCATGCTGTATAGCCAATTCAGTCAGTTTCTGGTAGCAGGTGATCAGTCAAATACTTAGCATTTACATAACACTATCTTCAAACTACTGTGCAGACATGAAGTAATGGGAGATAAGGAGGACTGAACTGTGCTTCCAGACAGTGATACTGTGTAAATACGTGCAGACCCACCTGTAGCCCATCTATTTGAAGAAGAAACTTTGATGCCAGGTCCCCATAATTTGAGTAACTTCTGTTGTGATCCCACCCCCACTTCTTACACCAGGAGCTGACTGTCTGTTGGGAGGCTTTCCTGATGTTTGGGATAGTCTATTATGTAATAATAGTAAGTGTCAGAGGACAGAATTTTGTCAGCAGTTATGTTTCCTGTAAAGACTTGGGAGGTGTTTTGTGTTAAGTGATCTACCTGTGAAAACATTAAACCTGCAGATGAAATGACTGAGCAAATCTGGTTTATCAAGCCCTTACATGTCTGGATAAGCAAAAGCTGCACCTGTTTTGCAATCTCAGTTCCATATTATACACAGCACATTTAGAGAAAAAAACTACTTCACCTAGAACCTCACTTGTTGAGAAAGGACTGTATACACTCACCTCCACATTATTTAAAAAATAAATAAATAAATAAAATAAAATAAAACAAAACAAAAAACAGATATTTAATAATATAAAACTAACTTTTAACTGATATTTCCCTTTAAAAGTGATTTCCTAAGAATACCTGCATCTCAGTTTTATATAAGAACAAACTAAAATATTAGAAGTTTCACGTGTTTGTGTATATGTCTTATGTTTAGTGGGAATGATGGAAGGAAAGATCCTGAAAGATCAGGGTCTGGAGCATATTTGGAAAAATTCACTTACCATTATTAAATGATGAAAAAATATAAAATAATTTATAGAAGATCCATGTAAAAAGGACTATGTGGGCAGCATGTTGTTTTCCACACCCCAGAGTAGCAAGAGAGTTTGAGACAGTTCATCAGAGCATTCCAAGCTTTCAGATCTGACCTTTTGTCGAATTTTGATACCCTGTATGAATGGCCTTTCTGCAAAGGGCTTGATTGTTCCTCGAAGATGCAGCTCTGCATCAGGGTGTGGTGCAGAAGATTAGCCCTGTCAGGTGCTTCACAGGATTTTAAATATGAGTCAGTCTGTCACAAAGCTTCTCAGTGTGTACTGGATGCTGCATACATGCTATTCATTCTGGCAAAGATTGCTGGGATGGAAAAACAAGAAAATGTCATCACTTTGTCTCTCCTGGTGCCACTGTTGGGTGTGACTGGCACCTGCAGGGGTGCCAAAGAACAAGGGCTTCTGATGATTACCTTAGTTTGTTTGCCCCTATAATTTCTTTCTCAACAAAGATAACATCAATCTGTGTTTTGTTTTGTTTTGTTTTTTTCACCCTAATGCTATGAAAAGTTGTGGATCACAGTACAAATTTTAACAAAATAAAAATTTTAAAAAAGTATTCTGTCTTCCACATATCCCCAGGATTTTATAGGTGCATGAACAACTGGGAAGCTAACCTTCAGAAACAGAGGGATTACATTTCATTAAAGATTTCTAATTTCAAAGATGTCTAGGTTGCATGATTCAAGTTATTGGAGGTGCTAACTCATTGTGTGAGTTAGAAGGCAATGCCAGAGAGCTTAGGGAGAGGTATCATGACCCATCAGATCAAGCCTGGTTATCTGCATCCGAGTTAAACCTCTCTTTTCAACATTCTGATACTTCTATATTGTTTTCTACACAGTTAAATGTACACTTTAATAGATATTTCTTGTTCTTTGGGCATGTCTCTCCTTCTGCTTATGCTCTTCAACTTTCTAGACATATCTCAAGGCAGCCAAATGATACCATACTTATTTATTCTGTGTAAAGTAAGAACATTCATAAATTGGAAGCACAATCATGTTATATTTCACAGAGAAATTCAGTAGCAATCTTACATCCAGTACTTGTATCGAGTGCATTGATTCTTAAAGCCCTGGAAGCCAATACTTAAAAACCAATGAGTATTTGTTTAGTTGATTAAGATGGGATGAAGAGGCTGGCATGGAGAAGTACAGAGTAAGATTTTATATTATTAGTTTTACTACTAATTTCAGGGTAGGGTGATTATAAGCTATTGCCAGACTTTTAATTTTTTATTATTTTTTTTCCAAAGGCAGAACATATAGAGGTGGTCCCTCCTACCCAGCATTGCTTATTGGTGCCTTGTCAATTTTACTGTTGACTTCACTTATTGGGCTTGGTAAAAAGACAAATTTTTACAGAATTAGAACTTTCTCTGACTGTATCTACTTTGCATGGCAGACTAGCCAGGGAAATGACACCAGTGTGCTTGTTTATTCAGAGAATTTTCTTTATGACAGAGAGAAGCCAAAGACAGTGTTAGAAATGCTATCGTATCTGATGTATTGCTAGAACGTGAATGTTTTGCGTATGTATAAAGCAATCATACTTGTAAATTTTTGTCAGGTTATTTTGCTATTCAAATTACCTAAAATGAAAGGCAAAATGAATTCATTAACCCAAATAGCAGAATTTAGGCTCCCTCCTACTTCTCTCTGGCCAGGAATTATGTACTTTTAGTTATGGGACCCCTTAGCCTTTGACACTCAAAGTATTACCGTTCATTTTCATATTATTTAGCAGAATATCTGTTGAGCTGCAGAGGTTAGGTTATATACCAATGTATATGAAACTCACTTTCTAACCAGTAATTATAATAAAATGTGATAGTTTGAAACCAGAGGTTGTTCACAAACCTTTGCAAGCCAAATTGATTTTAGAAGTTTTGAATCAGATTGTCATTGTTTGTTTGTTTGTTTTTTAAATGAATTTGAAGTATTCAATACAAGTCTACAACTGAATTTCCAGTAGAGTATCTGTAAAACAGCTAGAGCTGAAGCATATCTTGCCTGCCTGCATCTTACTTGGTTTAAAGGAACATAGCTGTATATCAATGTGGGGAGCAATCAGGGGCGTATGCAAAGAAGTAAAGAATAAAACAATAATCTACACTTAAATTTATACTTTGATACATTGAATATACTACTGATAAATTTATAAAACTGCTTTTTAGTAATGTACCTGAAATTTAGTGGTAATTTACATGGGGTTGTATGCATTGTTAGGAATAGTCAACTCTTTACATTAAGCAACAGAATGTGATTAATTCCATCTTGTTTTTTTCATTGCCTTAAAGTTTTGTTAGCTTGCTTGTCAAAATTATGAAAGTACTGCAATAGACAGCTATAATAGAAAAATTAGCAAGAGATTACTATGTAGCGTATGGCATGCTTTCTGTACATAAAAGTACAATCTAATCAGATCGTTAAACATGTAAATATTAGTTTTCCATTTTATTTTTTTGTTTTGTTTTGTTGTAACAAAGAACAGAGTTTGTCTGTGGAGTGGCAGGGACTTTCTAGATCACACAGTTTTCCATATGGAAGAGTACTTTTTGTTTGTTTCTTCTTTCCCTTGTTTTCTTCTAGGATATGGATTCCCATATGTGACATCACCTATTATTAGTTGTTTAGGCAAAATTTCTTGTAGACACTGTATATGAACATTACTTAACATATGCTTTCTGTAAGTAAATTCTACAGATCCGTCTGCCAATAGATCAGCACAAAGTAAGAGCTAGTGTGTCAGACCATCAACTTTGCAACTGATAACAAAGTTTTTTTCTTTAAAGTGGGTGGGAATGGGAAGGGTTCACAATCCGTATCACAATGAGTTTCTTTCAACTGAAAATTACAAAAACACCATGTCCTTTTTAATAATGCAGTTTTTTCTATTTCTATACTTTCTTCTAGACCTTGCCATTTTCTAATTTTCATGTGTTTGCATAGTGTTTTCTGTAGAAGCCTTCAGAGAAATGAAAAAAGAAAACACCACCAATAAAAAAAAAAGCCCTGCTGATGTTATCTGTAACAGAAATGCTAAAACTAAAGGGATTCCTTAGTTTCATTCCTTCTTTATATTTCTTTTCTAATTACTTTTAAAATACTTAAACTGTCACCCAAAACTTATTTGCATATTACTTTTAAAAGTTCTTCCATACTTTCTCACCAGGCCTGGTTGTAGCTGTTAGTGACATATCCTTTATTATTTAAAGGTTTTTTGAGTTTGTACTGGTATCTTGATTCCAGTAAGTTTGCTAGCTCAGCCTTCCTTGTTTCTAACAGACTTAATAAGATGTGTTTCTTAGGACTGTAATCATTCTTTTTTGAAAATGCAACAGAACAGAAAGTTTACACTAGAAATATAAACGGACTTGCAGAAATATGTGGCACATTATAAGCCTCTAACCTAAAAAATTTGTCATGAAAGGCCATTCTCCACAGAGGTCCTCATGTGTTAGAAAATGTAATGAAATGTACAGTGCCATTTATTTAACAAATATCTTCTAGTACAGGGTTATCTGATTATTGTGGTTTAGCCTCAAAGGCAGCTAAGCACCACACAGCCATTTCCTCATTTGCTCACTCTCCTCCTCCACAGTGAGATGGGGGAGAGAATCAAAAACAAACAAAAGAAAAAGGTAAAAACTCATGGGTTGAGGTAGGCAGCTTAATAGGATAGAAAAGGAAGAGGAAAATAATAACAATATAATAATAGTAATGATGATAATTAAATATATAAAACAACTGATTCACAGTGAAATTGCTCACCACCTGTCAGCTGATGCCCAGTCAGTCCCCCAAGCAGCGGACAGCCCACCCACCCAACCCT